TGAACATACCAAGAAAATCACTATTCAAGCTTAGAATGGCGTATGGACTATCTTGAGTCGGTCCTTTGAGCCACATATGCACCAAACCAAACCAACAAGAGAATACTGTCAAAATGATCGTTTTTGAGATATTTTTATTTCATTTTCTTTGACGGTTCGATTTGATGGCGCAATTCTGAGATCGGATTCAAATTCACCACCGCGAAATCTATAAAATAAATATCCTCAATTTTAATAGGAGAATTTTTATCATTAGTTGATTAATCAGGATTTCTGAAAGACATACATAAAATTGTACGAATATTTTCTTTATTTGTCATAAAAGTTTATATACCAAATATATTTTCGAGAAAAAAAGAATAAAAATAAGGAAAAGAAAAATAAAATAGACATGATGTACAAGTCTACTTACAATTTTGTTTATAAAACAAATCTTACACAATTGATTTTATATTATCCGAAAATATACATATGATACAATAACACATACATACAAAATTCCATATATATTATGCAATGTTTGACTTACTTTTCTTATCTTATCAATATTACATTGCCGTACAAAGTCTTAAATAAAAACTTTGGAGATCAGAAATATATATTCTTATATAGAAACACATAAAATATGTATATGTGCACTTTTCTAGCAAAAACACTCATTTCTTTGAATTTTCACGTACATACAATATCTATATATGTGTGTGTATATGTGCACACAATAATTTGGAAGAATTCTGTATATCTAATCACACTTGCATGTATTATCTTATGATATACGATATATAATTAATGATTATAGGTGATAATAATATATTGCTTTGAGAGAATTATCGATATTGTGTTCTCAACATGATAATTAAATATTTGTTTTTTTGTTTTGTTTTATTCTTCTGTTGCGTTTCACACAATGCAATATTCAAGCCGTACACATCAACTTTGTTATTATTTTATTCCACTGCATATTTTTCCTATTTGCTATTATCTAATATAAGTTAATTTTTGGACAATACAAACGATTAAACACAAATTAATAATATAAACATATAAAATAAAAAAAAAAAAATAGTAATCTATCAAATATATATACACATATGCGCCCTATGTGGCTAGTCGGCTCTAAAATATCAACAATCAAAACAATTTTAAACTGAATAATTAAAATCACAAATATATACCACACAAATTATTATAATTACAGAACAGAGTATATATAGACACATAGGCCAGTATTCATAGTCTGATCTTGTGTACTTATAAGACCATCTTAAATTAGAATTATCTTAATACTTCTCTGACAACGTACAAGTTTAACTCCTCTCATCGGCAATATGGGGCTCTGAGACTCAATGCAGGTTTTTATACCATTTCTAGACAGTATAGAAATCTGAAATCTCATATATTTGTGAAAGCTGTAATATGTCAAGTTTTTACTCATCATAGAAATCAGATTGTATTTTTTACACAGATTGAAATCAGTTATCTTAAAATTCAAAATCAAAGAATCAAATCTTTAAATCCCCACGTTGCCGGTGGGGAATTAAAGTAATATTGCTGTTGAGAGAGACGTAAACGACTCTTAAAATATAAACAAAAAAATGAATTTTGATTAAAATAAAAAAATGACAATCACAAATGTAGTCCATTTGTTAAAGCTTTAAAAAATACTAGGATATAAAATAACAATATAATAAAATAATTAAAACTGTTTAAAATACTAATAAATTTTGAAATAAAGGTTGAGTACTCGTTACTCCGTGTATCTGTATACAATATAAAATATTGTGTATCGATAAAAAGAGAGCGGATTGAGTGTGTTGCATAGAGCAGATGCTACCGCTTTCTCTTCATACCTTTACGATATCCTTTACCAAACCATCCCGGATTCTTTGCAGATGTTATTGGAGTATCATTGTGAATAAGCAAAGCACTTTCTTCTGTTTTCTGTTCATTCTCGGTTTTTGTGGACGCAGGAGAGTCGCCGTCACGTTGATAGTACAAACAAGTAAGGGAGCCTTCATTTTCCATACAAAACAGACAAGCTGGTTTGGGTTTCGGTGTTTCTACTGGTGCGTTTGGTACTTGTATGAATGGATAATAAAATAATGGTGTTAACTGAGGATACATATACATAGGAGGAAATGGTAATCCCATAGATAAAAATGGTAACGCGGTAAAAAAAGGTGCTGGATAAGTAGTCGTTGTCTCAGTCACTGTTACAGATGGTACACTATCTTCTTTATCTTCGGTTTGTTGCACCCTGACATTTTCATCGCTGCTTTGACTCAGAGGCTCTTTTTTAATGGGTTCTTCGAGACATGGTTGAGTTGTAGTAAGCTGCTCACCGTTGTGAAGTTTCACCGCATGAAAGAAAATCGGATCCTTTAGACGATTATATTGCGGTATTTCTAATCCGAGATGACTCATAATCTTTTTCATCACTTCGTCACATTTCCCATTTATCTTTAAAACTGCATTTTCGTCTTTCGGAGTCCATTGCAAATTGACAATATATAAGGAAGCCCTTTTTTGAACAGGTTTGTCCATTTGCCACAACCATGGATACTTCTTAAGAACTTTAAGACTAGAACCCAAACATAATATGACATCCGCTTGCTTTGCAGCTCTGGTTGCTCCATTCCAATTGATCGGCCAAGGTAAATTACCTCTTTCACCGAAATGAACTATCGAATCTTGCAAAACCGAATTACATCTGTGGCATAATCTTCCCGTTCCATGTTGATATCTTGCAGTCTTTTCAGTAACATCAAAGAGTCTCCAATATTCTCTCGATGGTTTGCATGCTCTGCAAACTTCCACATACATATTGCCATGAACTTCAGACAGAAGATTACGTGGGATACCACTGCGTAAGTGTAATCCGTCGCAATTTTGAGAAACTACATGTTTGAGGACTCTTGCTTTGTACAATGCATAAAGTGCCATATGTGTTACTGTTGGCTCAGCTTGGCTCAGATCATGATTCCTAAAAAGAAACAAAAGAAACAAAACAGTAAACAAAAATGTTTTTGTAAATTAATTCACTTTATACATCACTTTATATATTCTAACCCAATGTCTTTTCCTTTTTGCATACGAGTCCAAACTCCATTGGTTCCTCTATAATCTGGAATAGAAGCTGCTGTACTAATACCGGCACCAGTATATACAGCAAGTGATGTAGCTCTGCTGATTGCTGCTGCCAATCGCATGCATTTTTCTTCCAAGATCTCAGGAGCATCTTCAACTTCTTCTAATCGTGCTTTTATTTTGTCTCTCTTTTCTTGTCTGTAAATGATATCTTGTCTACAAGTAGCTTTTTACATTCCATTTAAACATATTTTTTTTACCTTTTAATTTATTACAAATATATATTTAATTTATTACAAAATATGTACAATATTGTGTTACATAAAACTTAAATATTTTATATAACATATCTTCTTGATGTGTTTAAAATATGTTTAAATTATATAAAAACACTAATAACCAATATTGTATCTTTATACATATAATAGTTCCTCTTAGAAAAAGAGTGTACGTACTTTATATAAAATATTTTGTTCAACAAAATAAAAGTCATTAATGAGAAACAACACTAAATATAGAAAAAATATTATTATCATCTACTTGTAAAAATGTGATTATTACCGTAAATTAACCTCTTTCACTACATCACTACAGGAGGCAAGTATCCCCGTTTCTTCCGGTGTTCTCTCTACTTCGGATTTCTGTAAAATTGCTGCTACCTAAAAATATATCGTTCCTTAGAAAAAAAAACTTGTTTATTTCCTCTCTCACTGTGAAGACATTGCCGGACTACAGGTTAGAGTTGGATAATACGTAAGAGACTTTACAAAAAAAAAAACACAAAAAACAAAAGCATATTGACATAGTTGCACGTACTTTTTTAAAGGTCGCTACTCTCTCATCTTTGACTTTAAAGGCTTTTAAAGCGGCAGAACGTCTTCGTGATAGTAACTTCTCATTACTCGCCTCCTCCATCTTTAATCAAACAGACAGTATCGCATTAGTATGTGTATCGTGTGTACGTATGGACACAACACATTTATTAAATTTCTATAGATTGAGATGTCCGTGTGTGTATTATGTATAACTGTGATAATATAATTCGAAAACTATCTTATCAAATAATTTGTGCTAAATGGCTATTTATTTTGTTGGTTTGTTTATAATCGACTTACACCGGTCGTTCAACCACGCTAAGTTAATAGAATACAAGCTCCGACGAATAATATGTTTTTAATGATCCACATAATTATGCATATGATAAAAAATTAATTGTCCCGAATCAACGACAACTTTGAAAACATAATGTACTTCTTTTTTTTTTTTTTTTATTCGATGGCATTATACATCTATAAGATGCGTTTGCTCTGAGCGCTTATGCGCAAATCTTGTATAAGTAGAGTAGCGTATCTCGCAGTCGACACCTTTGTCAGCGTAGACGAGAATGCGCATGAGCGAGAATAGGTATATAACCAATAACGTAACGGATCATCTGTTTCACTTTCTCTCATATATTAGCAGCATTCTCTCTTCTTGTCTAATCTTTTACATTTCTTGAGACGCTATTTATACGTATATATATTTTAATAAATAAAACATTTTATTCACTAGACCACAAAAAGATAAACATTTTCAAGTTGCTCGAAATTAAGCAAGTTTTAAGTCGCCGTAACTTGGCGATAATTATTGTAAAAAAAAACAAAGCATATATATATTTTGAAGTCTACTTTCACTTTGAAACGCTTTTAAAAATTATTTTATTTTTTTCTCGAAAACTTTGTGACAACAGTTTATCCACAAAGTGCATTTTTTTAATTTTGCAATAGTTTTTAGCCAAGTTACGTATTTTGCGTTGTTTATTTACACAAAACAATGTGTTCTCTTTTATGCTAGAAAACTGTAAAGATAAGAAGTCTTCAAAAAACGATTTGAAAAACGCGAAAGTACACACTTTAAGCTTTTTCGATGATGATTTATTGCCAAGTTACGGCGATTAATGTTCTTATTTTTTGCGTCCTAGAATGGAACGAAAGTTACCTTAATCATATACATAATTCCCTATTTTCTGTATATTTTTGTATGTTATTGTCAATTAATATACATATAACATACACTAGAAACATATACTCACTAAAAACGTAACAGTCACGTCACGTCTTTTACTTTGACGAGGTAGAATTATGCAAGGATTTCGTGAGATACAACCAGCTGTATGTCAATTTGTAGTTTGAACAAAATAATTTATTTTCTAAAACTCCAGAACATTATCGTGCTATTAATAGCATAGTAATATTACATCGATTTTATCAGTTTCACAAAAAATTAATTAACACTTAACTATAATATAAAAAATATTTTTTATATAAAAAGATGCAAATTTCTTGATCTTCTTTTTATGAAAAACTCTGAAAACTTTTGCAAAATGAAAGATATTGTTATTTACAATTGGTCTCTTTTGAACCAAATTTAGAACACGATTAAGTGAGATGTAAACTATATAGAAAATCTGTAATTTTTATGAAAGCAATTTGTGTCAGTCGTATGTCATTAGCCATCAATATGTTGTTAAATTCCAATTAAATCGACGTTTCTAAGTTGTTGAGTGTACTGAACTGGGTTAGATGGCTTTGCACAAGAATATAATTTCTTGAAACACAGACCGATAACAAGTATCAAAGTTAAATATTTATTACAAGTCGATCGCGGTTTTACAGTGCCTCCCGAACTAAAGTAATACCTTGAAAAAGACTTATATACCTGTAAAATAATTAACATTCGCATATTTTCGACAACAGTAGGATATGCGCGTAATTCAGAGAATCATGTCGAAGAGCAGCTAGCGACAAAACAGTTTACAATAAACTATTCTCAAAGAAAACCTGCAATATCTAGAAAAAGATACGTATTTTCTTTAAAAAATGAAAAAATTTATTTCTTCAAATTCAGTTTTATGTTTATAAACAAATAAATAAAATATGAAATAATATTCTTATAAGGAATAAAAAAAATACAATTACCTACATATCTGTTAAGAAAAAGTTAATTATATAAATTTAAGGACACAATTATAAAATTGTGTGTATATACATCATTTTATCATTTCTTTTTTATATTATACACATGTGTATAAGTTATTATATAGTTTATTATAGAATAAAGAAATACTCAGTAAGTAAAATAAAAAAAAAACAATTGTCAATAGATTGGTAACAATTGCGTACTTTGGCACATAAGTGCTGCCTTTTTATTGGTACAGTTATACATGTGTAATATATAAACTACCTATCAAGATATATACACATATGTGTCAAGTACGAGTTCATCTATTAAAAAAGTTTTTAAATTATAAGATGAAAAGTAAATAACAGATGTCATAGTACATGTCATTTTATACGTCAGTCCTCGATCTGAAGGCTGAATACAGATCTATTGTTTATGCGCATATAAAATGTGTGCCTCGGGCAATATTAATCAATTTTTATTTTTGGCCTTTTGTTACAGCATCTTTTTTTTTAAATTAATGTATCAAGCTTACATTGATCTCAAATCTGAAAAGCTTTTTTTGGGGGGAGAGAGAAAATACGCGTGCACCAATTATAATTTGTAATGAAGTTTCAATTACAGTTCGCGCTTTAGACTCGCGAACAAGGTACAAATAGAGTCATATAGAATTTAGACATTTCATTTTATCATGAATGCACCTTCTTGTTATGATTCTCATATATGGTCTTCGATCGATTCTAAAACAAGACCATAAATTTCATATTAGTCTCATGCATTAAATGCCTGACATGTTTCTGTGTGTTGCGTTTTAACGTATATAGAAGTAATACGTTGAAGAAGTATATTGCTGCAGCTGTCGCCACTCTGAGAAATCCCACGAAAACACGAGAAAGAGAGAGCGTGCGTGTATGTGCGAGCAAGAGAGAGAAAGTGATTATAAAATTAAAATAAGACTATATAGGACATTTCCCGAACTTTCTCACAATCAAACAAATTGTATTGAGAAAAAAATATACTGACTTATATATTCAATTTTTTAATTTTTTCACCAAGCATATGGAAAGAACGCAAAACCGAATATATGTACATCCAACAAAAACAAATTTTCGTCCGGTTGATTTATCTTTTATTAAAATCTTATGTGAGTCGTTTTATATTATATACAATCTCGTGTGCATTAAATCTTTCACAAAATAGACAATCGCGACGAAAGCCGCAGGGATATAGAAGTAATAGTGCATTATTTGAGGGTACATTATCCGCGGTTCGTATTATCACCCTCATCATATTCGCTCATCGAGCATCGTTCGAGAACAATCGTAACGCGGTAGAAACTTGACATTGAACCCCTCTACGTGTATTACACCCTTACATGAGTCTCTTTACAAACACACACGCGCGCATACCGACCATTATATTCGCTTATATGCAAAGTATGTAAATGCAAAAGCGTGTGTTATGAATGGGCGCTTGCGCGGTATCTATGGCAACAAATAATTCTTACCACGACCTCTATTTGTTTCTCACGAATCATTAAGCATTGTCAGTGCGGGTTGTGAGAAAGCTCGGGCGTAAAAGCTCTGTTGTCAAAGCGCCGTGACTCATAATCGTTTGTGTCGTCGTGCGACTTTCATCCTCCGCTCTCGTCAAGTGAATGCAAAGTTGAACATCCCTCGAAGTTACTTCGCGATTTCTTTCTATCGCGGGCCGCTCTTCTGATCGACCCTCTCTCTTCTCTCCGTCTCTCTCTCTCTCTCACTTTGTTGCAACGCAATCCATTGATTACAAATTACAATCGTAAGCCGCGTTCACGAGAGATCGACTCCGTTAATCTTTCCGCGCGCGTTTCGTTGTTTCGCATTGTTGCATTTGCGAAATTTCGCGATAGAATCGCACACACATTTGCAAGGTAATTCAAGCAAAAGTGATAAGTTCATCAATTTATTGTGTTGTTCTCTTCTTAAAGTCTCTAATGTGACCTTGAAATCTTCGTATTGAAATCTCTGTATTTTTTCCGTAAAAACTTTCCAATTATTAACTCACAAATCTATTATAAGCAGAAAAATCTTTCTTGTGTGTATGTATTTTTTATTTATTTATTTATTCTAATAAAATTGTTGACAACTTATTAAAATATGGTTTAGAAGTAATTGTCAAAAGTTTATACATGTATGTATAATTTTAAATAGCATTTGGTAAAACTATATTCTAGCTAAAATATATAAAATGCAGTTTTTTTATGAGTAAGAATTAGAAAAATCCTATACATTTCTCCAACTATAGTAATGTCTTATTCACAAGTTGTAAAAACTCACTAATTTGTAAAACTCAATATAACATTAATGTATATAATTGTAATTAATGCAGTTGTTTTATATATGTTTTTCCACTCAATACGCTAGCAATAATATATTTATATATAATTAAAAACATTTTTTGTTTCTTAAAAAAAAGGAATTTTTATCTCTGTGATAAATTTCTCATTATAAACATGTAACTTTTATTATAAGTTTTTTCGTTCTGTTTTTAAAACTTTTGGTGGTATTGCTGAACATACACAGAAATTAGATTTTTAAAGTCAAACAATAGAAAACACTTTTCCAAAATCATACATATTAAAAAAAACTGATTAAATCTTTTTCAGGATACTCAATTTGTTTTTTTATTCAAGCATCGCGCATAATAAGAAGATAGTTTTAAATTTAAATGGTTATCTATGGACTTATTAGATAAATTGTTTGAAAATTTTAATAACATCAATGTGGACAGTGATTTTGCTTAGTTTAGTCCTCAAGTGCTTGTTAAAGAAGCTACGTCGAATAGATTCGAGGCAAATCAACACGTGGCAAGTGCACTCATCTCCCTCTTTAAGACATCGCTTTGTAAAAGAGAAAATTAAATTCCACGGATAAAATATTCAGAATTGAATCTGACGAATCAAAAAGCAGTGAATTGTAGTCATCTTTGATAGTTGATTACAAAATAATTGATCATTAAAACATCAAGTAACTATAACAAGGATTATTCTTTTGAAATGAGTCTCACAAGACACTACAGTGTGTGTGATTAATCAGGACTTTACTTGTTAAAGCAAGGAATTTACTTGCTAGAAGCATGTGAGTAAATGGCCGTGGAAGGATTGTATCATCCTTGGAATTACTTACTATGGGCATCTGCCTGGATACTGGTTAGTAATATAACTTCTTAGTAATGTAATAATTTAGTAAGGTAATAACCGCTCTCTCTTTCTATGTTTCTCTAACTTCTCTAACTTTTTAGTAATGTAATAATTTAGTAACGTAATAACTGCTCTCTCTTTCTTTTTTTCTCACTCTCACTAAAAAATTATTAAACATCACAAGCTTGCTTATTTTCTTAATTATTTGTGCAAAAAAAGATAAAATATTATAAGAACATTGTTATCAAAATAGATATAAATAGTCTGCTAATGTTTTATTTGATATATTTTTGTTTTTTTAAACTGAATTAAATGCAAAGAGATGAAGGCAAGACGATGGACAGTTTATCAAAGATATGCGCAGCAATATATATTGCATCTGTATACATAGTTTGATATTTGTCATTGTTAACTTTTTTATATACACACAAAAGTTTACATACACAAAATCACTTTTCTTTAGATAATTATTGAATATTCTCGTATGTATACAAAAATGCTCGACATGCGAATCGTCCATAATGAAAATATTTATGATTAACACAAATACATTTATTGCGATCGATAATGCAGAAATAACATTATTATATTAGGTGAAGTCTTTTCTCGCGCTATCGTAGTCAATTCATCGTAAAATATGCTATTCAGTTTATAGCTATTTTGACCATTACATCTACGTGAAGATAACGACCATTACATCTATGTGAAAATAATGTTAATGATCACAACTATTTCGCATACTAAAACAACTTTGATATTAATATAATCGCTTATTTAAACTCGAATCTTTTAATAGTATTCCTCAGTAATTTTCTCACAGATTTTGTGATCTACTTTAAATAATAAATAAAATTTTTCAGATCAACAAAATGGATCGCAGATGTTCGAGGAAAGCAATATCCGAGCTACGGGAAGATGGCGAGGAGAAGCGGGTCTTTTGGCAACTCCACCGGATGGACAATTTCCAAAGCAAAACATTGGCGCAGTTAAATTTGAAATACCAAAAGTTCCAGTTATATTCGTACTTGGTTAGTGTATACAAAAATATGGATACTTTATCACGTTTTTTTTTCTATTTTTGATTGTGTGCAATGTTTAGATTTTAAGATCGTTTTTGTAGATTGTTTTTAAACATCGATAAGAGAATATTAATTTTAAAGACAAATATTATTATTATATATACTTACCTAATTAAGATTTTGTTTTTGACATGCGTTCTACAATTGTTTTGCAGGTGGTCCCGGTAGTGGTAAGGTGACATATTGCGACAATTTAATACAAGAAAAACAAGGAATAACACATATCAATATGATGGATCTTCTTCAACAATATGCACTAGGAAATGGTTAGTACTTGCTTTTTATACGTGTGCGCATTTGAATGTACATGGCACATGCTAGAAACATAAATAGTTAACTATAACTATTACTATAATGTAACATTTCTAAAATAAAACCATTTAAATTACGTTTCAATTATTTTATGTCAATAAAATACGCATATAATGAAAATATATATAAAATATAATATTGTGTATATGTTTGGCAAATCTTTATTATAGATATGCAAGATTTTGGACAACTTAGTAGTAAGACAGTCACGGAAGTGCTGATGCTCGAGATGAAAATGTCGCCAGGAGCGAAAGTTTTTCTCGTAAGCGGATATCCACGAAATATGCGCGACGTAGTAGAATATGCTGAAAAAGTAAGTATGTTTCGTTTGCTTTAGAGTTTGTTTTGCAGACAAAAGATAAAGTTCAAGCACCATCGCACCATGCCAAAAAGCGTATCTCTCTACCTATTAATTGAGTAACAAAATGTTGCACTGATATCGTTTGCAGATAAAAATTGTTAATGGCGTTATTCTTGTGTCGTGGAGGCAAGAAGTATTGGAGAGACAAATTGATTTCGGTGCGCAACTCGGACATGTGATCATCGGATTAGCTAGGATGGAATTACATAATTTCTACAGGAATGTCATGCCAGTTGCAGAATATTTTGATCAAAGTGGAATGTTGCTCGAGGTAAAAAAAGATTTTTGTTTATTGATGCGTTCTGTGCAAATTTAAAGATTTTTTTTGTTCTTTTCTTTTGGTGATGTAAGAAATGTAAATAAGAATAAAACTTATTTGCACAGGTAAACGGAGAGCGTAATCCGAGTGAAGTTTATATTAGTTTTCGGGATGCTGTTCTTAAAATTCTTGGTATGTCAAACGGCGAAAATCAAGACCAAAATATACCTCAATCTCTAGAAGCAGAAGTAAGTTAAAACTTGGCAATCTGTGTCTTGATAACGTGCATCACTATCTGTGTGCATTGTGTTTTAGGTCGAAGTAGAAAGGAGAAAAGAATCTGTTTCTGGCTCACCGAAACAACAAGTATCTGAAACAACATCTCCTCCATTAACGAAAAACGTACCATCAAAAACTGCTGATAAACCAAGAAAAGGATTGCCATCATTTATCTGGGTCATAGGTACATATCTCAGATTTACATCATTCATATAAAAAATTCTTAGTGCAAATAGTCAAGTTAATTGAAGGAAATAAGAGTTGCGTTATAACCGCACACACATCTAGCTGTTTCTTCCACTTCTATTTATATCGTTAATCAGTGTTACATACAATTAATTGCGTAATCAATTTACTTACATATGTGTAATATTAGGTGGACCGGGAAGTAACAAGGCGGCTCTTTGCACTCAAGCCGTTCGCAACATGCCCGGTTGGTTACACGTGAGTATTGGAGGATTGTTGAGAACAATGGCATCGTCGAATGTTGTCGTGAACGATGCTATCGTATCGGGTGAAATGGTTCCTCACGATATTGTGATGCAACTCGTGCAACAACAAATTCTTCTCAATCGAGACTCAGACGGTATTGTCATAGATGGATATCCAAGAGATTTGAATCAAGTGCAAGAATTTGAGAGTAAAGTAAGACTTGTATATTTCTCACATTGCATTACATTATCATTATGTCATGCGAAAGATCCGATCAATCATATATTTGATTGCCAATATACAGTTTGGACAAGAACCACCACTAGTGTTACTCGACTGTTCCAAGTTGCAACTCGGGAGAGGAAGATTGGATGACAGTGTCTCGGCATTTAGAAAGAGATTGGAGCTCTTCCGCGAAGTGTCTCTTCCCATGTTAAAAACACTGGATAGTGACAATCGATTAACAATAGTACGTAATTTGCAAACATTATGTCTCTTTTTTGTAATAGTAAAATGTTTATTTGTATTGTAGATGTATGTGTGTTAAATATATCTCTGTATCAATTGTTTGTTTTATTTTGAGAACAGGTGGATGGTGATACAGATGTGCCAAGCGTACAGCAAGATTTTGCCGCGGCTTTATATCAACTAATGCGTAGGGCACGTCGCAAAGAAGAGGAAAATTTACATGACCCGGGTTTTCCAGAAATAAAAGACCAACCAAATGGGGTACACGCGACGAATAACCATCAAAATGGACATGCTATACCTAATGGCGTTGCCAAACAAATTGCCAGCGATGTATCCAATCATACAGAGAAGATAATCAACGCAACGAAAAATGTAAATGGAATTGCTGCTCAAGGTAATTTCGAGTGTTTTTTTTTATACATTCTTAAAAGCTCAAAATAATTAATATACTTAGTAATAAGTTAATCATCCAATAATGACGATAATTATAATTGTGCGCAATATGTTAATTAGTGGAAAAACAAATTGGTAATAAACGATATCTATTTGTTTTGCCAGGAATAGGCACTATCTCGAACGGTGTGTTGAACAATACAAAGCATAATCAACAAAACGGTCATATTTATCAAAATGGCATCGCAAATGGAGCAGCGCATATGCTGCAGAATGGCGTAGCACATTTAGCTAACGGCATTAAATCCGGCAACAACAAAGTCGCACCAACAATGCACAATTTGCCAAAGGATCCCATCAGGAAAATGTACAACGAAGTCGAAGGTTATCAGCAGAATCTTTATATGTAACATCTGCTGATATCTTTTTTTAAATAGTACACAACACTTTTTTACTTGTTGACATCGTGTGTGATAAGACTCTTTGATCTATATATATATATATATATAGCTGCTGGAATTTTCGAGTGTCGACAATTTTGATAGCTATAATCGCGCCCGTTTTTCAGAAGAGTTTACTGAAATCTTTTAAAATACATACAAGACACATAGTATGTGTCACAACTAAAAAAAAACATATATATATATATATACACAATCATTTGCTATAAAAAAAAGTCAGAATTAAACGTATGATAGATACCATATATTTTTCACAGATTAATTTAAAAATAATATAAATAAGTATCACAACTCGTCTGCTGTTAGAAATTCTCGTTCTGTCATTTTGTCGATACAGTTGTGTTTGAAATATTTCTTCCGAATTTATTATTTATTATTTGCAACTTATTACGGGATCATATAATAATGTTATACAATTACTACTAATGTCGTCAATACCGTCCATAATGAACATACCATGCATGAGTGCGCGCTGGAAGAAGATGTACCTGATGAAAGTATCGAGATATCAAACTAACTCAATTTATTTTATAATTCGATCCGCGGGCGGATTCATACGATTTGTTAGTGATTAGAAAACAGTTTAAAACTATTTAAAATATTTTCAGCATTGTGTGTGTGCTACACCAAATTGTACATAATTCGTACATCGGATAAAAAGAATAGACTGCTTTAGTTATAGGATACAACGGTTACGTTTTTTGCGGTATTATTTTCTATTTTCTTCTTTTTTTTTATTTAAAATACCACATCTACTTTTAACAGCAAATAACAATAAAAAAAAAAGAGTACTCAGGAACTTTAATTTTATCTGTTTGCAAAGCAATTTTATAAAACTTACTTGTGGTTATATATCATTTTTTTAAACATGATAGATACTTTTTTTAATACATGATGTATTAAAAAAAGAATAATAAAAAAATTACATTTCTTAAATCCCTTTTTTCTCTTTAAAACACAACTTGATAGAAAGAGTTGAAATAAAAACTTAGGATTTCGAAGTATCTGCCTGCTACATGCAGTCTCGTTATTCGAGTCCTAATTAAAACACTAATTTATCATATTTATTTTTATTATAAGTTGTAAGATATTTATAAATTTAATATATAAGAGAAAGAAACTTGGTTTTTATATTTTATATAAATGTGTAAAAAAATATGTACATAATTGATATAATTTATTTGTTCAGTTAAAATTAGACTTATTAAGTTATATCCTAGAGTAGAAATATTAAATTTTATAATATTTATTATCATCAGATATTCGAATAAACAAACATGCGATAAATATATATATATGTATAATACATATACATACATATAATTCTCTAATTATACATATATATAATTTATATATTTTGCTAATATGAAAGATATGAATGGATGATAACTCTTGTGTTATATAAAAATAATTAGAAAATCATTTTTAATCATATGTGTTTCTGTTTATCTATTTTACATTGTTACTATGTATTCACACACAATGATTAAAATAAAAAAATAATTCTGTATTATGTTCGGTGTGTTACATGTATCTATATGAAATAGAGAATGCAATAAAAATATAGAAACATTAAATAAAAATCACATTATTTTTCACAGAATTTTTTGTTTATTTATCTCTAACTTTTTTAAAAGCATGACAAGGTTATCTTAAACCAAAGAACAAACTTTTCTTATGAAATATTTGTATAATGTTGGATAAAGGAAGAGAAGAAAGTTAAAAAGAGGAAAGAAAAAAGGATCTTTTTGTATGGCAACATCCTAAAGGCACGTGGAGATTGGAAGAATTTATATTGCAATTATATGTATACACCTAAACATGAAAGAAATATGTTATAAATGCTAACTTTCCAACGATCGTGATCCGTGTGGACGTAAGAAAAGAAAGAAGATCCTATATGTACATATGAATATGATCGTTTTACAAAATAATAAATAACGAGTTAAGATACACACAAAACAAATTCATAACGCTGAATACAATACAATATTTTTATCTTTTACTTGCAATTCTCACAAAGAACATTATTTTCAACATTACATGAGATTTATTTATATTCACCCAAAGAAGATAACTATTTTCGGGACTGTGTATACATATATATATAAGTGTGATACAACAAATTACCTGTGCTAGTAACATGTACATTTCTAAATTCGATTCCCCCATTGTAATATATTCTCGTTAATTGCAAATCACGCTAAATTCAAGTAATCTAATATCATGAATATTCTTGAGAACTTGGGTTAAAAATACTCAGCAAATGTATAATCATAGTACACATAAAACTGTCTGCTTTGTTCAATCAACTATCAACAAAATATTTAACAATATATATTATTTTTTTCAACAAAAATTGTAATATTATGTTAAAAAATAGTTTTTATATTTTAACAGTAAAATTCTCTTTTAAATTCTCTTTTTGTATTAGTCAAGTACTGAAAACTAACATTCTGTCAATAATTTATTTAAAATAAATCGAGATTAAAATGTTATCATTTTTTTTAATTATTAAGAGTGATTCTCCAAGAAAGTGTGTTTGACTTAAAAACTACAAAAATTTACAATGACAATTCATTCTAAGATTATTACGAGATATTATCTTCAGCTTGATGTTAAGAGAACTTGCTATTACATTGACTTTATAAGCAAGACTACTTTGTGTGTTGTGTGTATGTGTGTGTGTGTGTGTATGACAATATTACGTTTATAATCACAAAAAATTTATTTAATTACATGAGCAAACACTTCTCTATAAATTATGAAACAAATCACACATTTATATATACGAGGTTTATAATATAAAAAAATTACATAATTTATATATCTTTATGTAATCAGTATCGCGATAATCTATTTAATAATCGTGACACAGGAACATTTCACGAAAATTAAGCAAAAGACAAGATAATATTATAAATATCTATAGAACTTTTTTCTTAAATAATTTAAATAATATATGTATAGGAATGTATATATAGGAAGAAACCGATATTTAGAGATCTAAGTTTAATACGTAAAAGAAACGCAAAAGTAACGAGATAAAAGATATTATAAACAAAAGTATTAGATAAGGAGAATAATTGATTACAAAACATATTTTGGCACATCTAACATCAGTAAATAGGGAGAACAATATGCAAAGGTCATAGTATAAATATACTATATTCATACCATGACATATATGAATGCAAAAGATATATCAAACTGATATATTCACACGGCTAAATCTTACTCATACAATTTCTAACAAATAATTTAGAATGTTGCATATATTTAATCAAATTTCAAAACCCAAATATTATATACGAATTACACGTTAGGCATCTAGAAGAATATGTGCATATATACAAGATGTAATACTATTTACTGCGCTCGATATTGCAAATTAGAGGCATAAGAGTGCTCTTTTACCTCGTAAATATATATTCGACTAATGCGATCGGTCGATTATTTGCGTTCGGTTGTACACGTCGGATATCTTTAATTTCCAATGTCAAACGCAGATATTATGTGAATATTTGTCCTATAATGTAAAGATTTTTTTTCTTTTTAATCTACTTGTATATATGCAATCCTTGTAGCTGTAGACTACGGTGCAGTAATGCCATCCGAAAAGGAAGTAGGATTTCTTTCTCTGTACACGTTGTTGTAGATAGGAAAGCTTCCTACTTTTATTTCGAAAAACAACGCGTTAATGCACCGGTGTACGAAACTTGTCTCATATATGTATAAGAATGTGCCAATATATAATATATATATATATATATATATAGCATTATTATATTAAATCTCTCTGCCATAAGAGCACAATAAAATAAATGATTATTATGTAAACGCGAGTTTTTTTAAACACATACAAAAAATGTTACATCACTTTCATTTTTTCATAAGCACAAAAAGTCAGTTGATTTGAAATATATGCATACATTGAAAATATGCAAGTTTTTTTCACATTTTACTGCACAGAAAGTAGAAAACTTACACCATTTGAAAGTTTTTAGTAACAATTTGTGAACTAGGCAGTTCAAAAATAGCTCAATATTATTGTATAAAATATATGTAAGTTTTACATATATACGCGGATAAGAGTTTCTTTGGCAGAGAGAGAAGCTTATCTATATAAATGTACAGATACAATACACACAAAAAAATTATACAAAACTTATACATATATATGTGTGTATATATATATATATATATATATATATATAACTTTGCTATTTTCTCTGTGACAATTAAAAATTGATCTATAATTTAAATGTAAAATTATCATGGAAGTGTTCATTTATTCTATCTTTTTTAGATATGTTTTTATTTATCTAATTTGTAACAAAACATTCAAAAACTGAGAAGCTCTGTGACATTATATTAAAACAATCTTTCATCATTTTATGATGTTCAATTTTGTTACTTATTACTGTTTGTTCTGTGATATCTACTCAAATGGGTCTACAAATAAGTAGATCCATTATCATTTTTTCTACATGATAACAGTCTTTAACTTTGGCATTATCTTAAATGAAGCAACAGACTTTTATAATTGTTTTCATAATATATCCCATTCCATCTCTAATGTAATATAATACACAAAGTATAATAAAATTAATAACAAATTAAAAAGATTAATTACGAGCCAACGCACGTAACTAAGAGCTTAATTTTGTATTATTGACATTTGTCCGAGTTTTATTAACGGTTAATTTTTGTTATGATAAAACTCTGTACAATTTTTATTAATGTCGATATATGCAAATATAAAGTAAAGAAAGTGTATAAAATTCAAGAAATGATTACTATATGTATTCCAAACAAAATTATTACTATACTTATATATTCCACCACATCTTATGGAAATTTGGAATTTTCTCTTTATTTTTACAATATACATCCTAACTAAAATCAAATGAAGCATGCTTGTGGGATCCAACTACAATTACTTAAATGATTAATTATCATTCATAATCATTCGCACAAAATGTTGAAAATGTTGAAAATATCGCTCTTCCAATTAATGTCTAACGATCAAACAATACTACCTGGGGTATTGCTAAGACCAATTGGCTGAGTATTTTCAACCAGAGTGGATCGCATGCTCGAGGATGGAGCTTGCTGAATGTCCATTGCTGTTGTTCTCATTTCGCCAAAAGGTGCCCTAAAGTAAGAAATACAGTTTGTCTTTCTCTTTCTTCAAATAATGTTTACTTTCTCTTCTATTCAGAGAAACGTCATTAAGAATTAATTTTATATATACCATATATCATATACACCATATTTTATATATATATCTTCTTGTTTGTGTGTCTATATATATATATTGCCACAAGTATTTTAAATCCATTAAGTAAACTGTTTTTATTAAGAACGACATAATCTTCAACAACACATTCTCCCTTTTTCTTTTTTATGTATCAATTTCATTCCAGAACCAATTGTGTTCGCACAAAATATATACATTACACACAAAAAAGATGTAAAATATGTGCAACTATATAATCTAAAATAGATATAATTATAAAATCTAAAATAGAATATTGACAGTTTTCTTCATCAAAATATAAATATGCGCAGTGTGTTCCATTTCTACTAGTTGTTATTATTACTCTATTAAAGTGGAAAAATATTGACATAATTTTTGGTATCAAGAGTAAAATGTAAGAGTGAAGAGTAGAGTAAGTGAACAAATAATAATGTTACAACACATTATCAAAAACATATATAGCATAACACCAGTATTATTACTTAAACAAGCAAGTATAGTTATACAGAAAGAAATCGGCTATAAATTTCTGAACTTAATTAAACTACTTTTACCATATAAAATTAGTGAATGTACATTCTTTTCTAATATTTTTAACACTTGTATTTAAAATCTTTTGGAATTGAATTATTTTCTGCATAACTATCTAAGTATACATTGATGCATAGGTAATTGTATACACTGCAAATAATTATTAAATTAATATAGCAGATTAATACAAGAACTTTAAAGTAAAAAAAACATTAATGTTAGCGAGAGAAGAAAGAAAAAAAAGGGAAGAAGGGACGAGAGAGGAAGAGGAGAAAGTTTTATAATATTAACAAATTTACTGTCTCACAAAGTAATATAAATTTCCGATATAATTCTCAGAAGAGAATTTTTTAACTAATTAAAAATTAGTTAAAAAAAGCCGCTGGATACTCGCTGCAAAACTCTTAAATTATAACGTCATGTCAGAAAGAAAAAAAGGAAGTTTTTTATACATATCTTGTAATCGATAGATTAACACATATATATTTTTCTGCTTTTTTCGTTATAATCCAAGAGATATGCGACTACCTAAGAACTTTAAAGCAATAAAAAAAAAATTATAGTAAATATATTAAAAAAAGAGAAACATAAATGTGTGTACAATAAAGCATTCTATTGTGGTTTAAAAATTTGGGTAATAACATGAAATTTTATATATTATTGCCTGGTTAGTGAAGTGGTGCAATAAATGTTTGATGATTTATGTAGGCCTCCAGACGTCAGGATCCTCCATGAGAGTGGTATGGTGATCTGTAGTAGGAGGCACTGTACCCTGTGGGGAACCCACGCCCGACGTCATTCCCGCGGGGTCGGGCCTGGACCCTCTGTTATTATGTTATACATTAGTGAACACACACTCCAAGTATACATAAAAAAAGCAAAATAACACTCCTCCACGATGCGATGAATTAATGTTACAAGAAAAGCTCTTATATTAACAATTACATAAAGTAATATTTCACAATTGTAAAGTTAAATCAAATTAAGCATGGTTTTCTTTTTACACAAATGTTTTCTCCAAAACACAAAGTTTTCTTTAAACATTTTTGTGACGTTTTATATATAATACAAACATATGTACTACATGATTTTGTAAAGTTGTATTTTAAGAATATTTTCAGATAAAAACCAAAGCAATAGCATTAAAATATAGAATATAAAAATTTGTTCTTCCACCTTAAAGCAAAACACATTAAAGAAATGAAAACCCATATCACATATTTTAGCTAGTTACATAAATTAAATGCCATGTCATTTTAAAGTGCCCACACATCGCGTTCGCACGCACACACAGAAGAAAATGTCCCCAAAAAACTACCGATAAATAAATAACAGATTCTTGTCTCACAAAAAGTGTTCAAGAATCTGTCATTAAAATGTTTATCAGTAGTTTAGAAACGCCCATATGCTTATAAGTTTTGTCAAGTGTATTTCAAGAATAATTATATTACTTACTTTTTGCCAAGAGACATTAATCCATATATTATACCCGTTGTAAATATTAAACCACTGCCAAATAAACTACCCATTCCAAGGCACAGAAAGACTGATGGCAATGCTATTCTAAATCAAGAAACATACATAAAAATGTAATATAATTTGTTATAAAAATAAGAAAAAAAGGAATAAAATAAAATCAACTTACAGACAATAAAAAGCTGCTCTATTCCAATATGGTTTCTTCTCCACCCAATCACTTAAATTCTGTACAAAGTCGATGAATAAACAGCAGCATGGTGCTTCAATCATTACAACTAAGAAACCAGCTATCATCTGCCACATACCACTAATTAAGCAGTCAACCTGACCAAAAAGTATCGATGCGCAATTCCAGGCACCCAGAAAAATTGCAACTATAAATGAATAACGAGTTTCTTATCAACTGTTTTATATGTTGAAAAAAATTCGTAATATACAAAAGTAATTTTTTTTTGTTAAATTTTCCGACGAAAATTTAAAGGTTTTATAAAAAAAAATATAAATAATATACATATATACATATACATATGCTACTAATAAGTTCAAAAAAATTATTACATATATAGATAAATAATGGTATTGTGTCCATACATACACACACACATACACACGCAACTATAAAAATAAGTACATTGAATAGAAATAAGAAGAAAAACAGAAAAAGAAAAACTGAAAAATATAAAATGTGTGAAAGGCTTAAACTTACTTATACTTCCTACAGTACCAAGTCCACGACCCGCGTACTTCATCCACCAAGGTACATCATCCTTGGCAACAGGGTCCTGTCCAGGTCTTTGCATGATCGATGCTATTTTCTCGCCAAACGACTAAAATATACACGCACGACATCACATAAACTTTTATTGATCAATATATTTGCAAATGTATAACATTACCATTTTTACAAGTCGCGATATATCACTTTATCAATTTTTTTTGTTCGTCAGCTGAGAATGCTGACAGTGTAGCTGGCAGTAAGCGCAGATATATCTGTTAGTGTATATGTACAAATGGTATGTATTACAAGAAAATCGACCCACTCGTTCTATATCTATACTCACGAGGGCGCTCTATATGCCTCTGTGATATAAATTGTTTTGTGCGCGCATTTTAAATATCTACACATCTTTATTAAATATCTTTAACTTATATTCCTATATTCATAGTCGAATCATACATACATAAGACTCGCATCTTACATTTACCTTTAAGATGCTGTACGGCCCATTCTATCGACTACGGAGTATCAAGATAAACCTTGAACGATCTTAAATATAAGATCGGCCTATTGTGAATAACCAGTCTTTATTCGTAATTTTTGTTCGGTGAAGTTTTGATTTTATTAAATGTGTTCTCCAGCCTAAAGCACTAATATAACTTGGCTTAATAAATGTCAATATAGCAGAGTTCTTTGTAACTTAAGTCGTGGGGGAATTAAATTTTCTTCACAACTTAAGTTGCCCTTTTATTTCTCCATTTCCTTGGCAAGAGTTGTGCTTGACATGTAAAGTTCGTTCTGCGCATGCACGCAACCGCGTGAAATTTTGCTTTAAATATCTTTTATTGAAGATTACTCTCTTGTACTACTTATTTGTTATAGATTTTCAATGACATATTTAAAAATATTTAATAGAATTACTAAAAATTAATCACATTAGAATATGAAATAGATTTTTAATACTTCAAAGTTTACAGAATAATTTAAATTCGAATTAAACAACGCATAACAACACTCATAACATATAGTGAAATTTATTTATGATTTTATTTCTATTCCTTATTATATATAGTCCGAATCAACATAAAATACGAGACAGCAGTGCTCAATACCTGTAATATAAAATATATTAGAATAATTTTTTAAATGTAACATGTTCTATGTAAATATAAAATAAAATATAGATAATATTGTTGTTTTATAATTCATTACGCATATGTAATATTTTTATTTTATAATTCAACAAATTATGATATTTATCGATCTTTACCACGTTGAAATTCTCCAGATGCATTACATAGAATTTTCCTGCAGTAATTTGACTAGGTCTTTGACTACGCAATATAAACAAACATATTACGGTTCTAAATAAAATCGGCAATTCGTACCAAGTAGTTGAATACACGGTTTCTTTTATCGCCGAACTCTAAATATATATAAAAAGCTTATAAAAATTTATATATGTATATATATACCTATTCTGTGCGTTATAATTTTTTGATTACCTCATTTATTAGAGCGTCACCAGGAATACAAAAAAGCAGCAATTGAAAGAGTGCCATAAATAAGTATGAGATATACTTAAGCATTTTAGAAATCATATCTGCAGTTATGTTTGCAGTTGTAATTTGGAAGCCTACTAGACAAATTATAAGACTGCTGGCTAATGTCTGCAGAAATAACATTGGACTAAAAAGCATTTCCATATCATCGCAAAACCTACAAAACAAGATAACATTCATATATATTTTTATTTATGATACTCAATTAGAGACTCTGTTGTTTCTCTACTTAAAGAAACATTAAAAGCAGATTGGCAGCAAAATTCAGCAGATTTGTCAAATTTTCTCGTCAGATTGACAATAAAAATCGAGCAAATCTGTTTGAATTCACTCCCAGTCTGCCGATATACATTTCTTTTATTCTACTTGCAGAATTATTACCAGAGAATCGTATAATGATGCTTGACAATATCTTTTATTCCTAATTTGATGTTTTTCACAGTATTTTCTTTATCACATGCGTATTTTTTCTAAATAAAAAGAAACTCTCTTAGTTTAATATATTCACATAAAATATATTGCAGTTGTTCTTCTCAATACTGCGCAAATTCACAGAAAATAGAACAGAAAAAAACTTAAATTGTAGAGAAGAAATATGCTTGGTCCTGGCAAGTTAAATCACGAGAATCTCTGCTGTGCGTAATAATACGTAAAAAAATTTACAGAATAATTACTAACAAGATCTATTTGCATGATAGTTTTTATCTTTTCTTGGAGTACTTTAAAATGGCCACAAGTGAAAAACAGTGCTGTTGCAATTAAAGTATCAGTTCCCAAGATAATGAGGCCACATAAGCTGGTCGCTAGCATTTGTGAGAAGTAAACAATCTACGTAGAATAATAACAAATCCATAATGTAGATTATAAGTTTTTTTCTCTGAGCAAAACTTAAAAAAATGTAGATTGTTAAATTCTTACCTGATATAATGGAAAATTGTAAAAAAACTTTGGATATAAAGCTACAAATGGAAAGTGTTTTGTACTATTATTATTAGTACCTTTAACTGTGGTGATAAATATATCAATTATAGGTAAACTGTAGAAAAATACTAAAGAATTAAAAATTAAAAACAAATATCCCATAGTAAATAAATATCCTTTTCTTACATATCTGTGAAAAAATATGATTAGTTTTATGTAGTATGTGTATATCCTATATACACATATTTTTATATATTGTATTATATAATATAAAATATATAAAAAAATTATATATTAAAAATATATTTTATATAAATATTTATATATTATATTAATTTATCGTATTATACATATAACAGTCTTTTGTAAAACTTTGTGCAAAAACTTTTATATATAATTTATTTAAATAGAAATAACAAAATAATAAATAATAAAACAAATCATTATATATATTCACATACATCGCATGTATATTTGTATGTTTCAAAACATATGTTGTCATTATTTTCCAATAATCTGTTAACATGTATTTTATAAAAGAATCCATCTTTTTTCTATTGTACATCCAAACTAGGGATTTTAATATAGCAAGTAAGATAGTGAGCAACACTGAACTATAAAGAGATAAAGTAAATAAATAATGATTTAAATCTTTCCTTTAAAATATATATACACATACGTACAGCATATATCGTTAAATTAAAAATTATAAACATATATACGTATATATATTATATATTATACCTTGTTTCCAATACAATAGCCAAATCCCGCCAATTGTGATAAATTTGCAGTGCTTGCGGTATAACAATGCCAAACATACACATACAACATATAATATATTTTACAATACTTGTTGGATATAGGCCTACAATCTTTAAAATTTTTTTATTAGTAAGAACATAATTGTTGATGTTATCCATTTTTCTTTTCACACATTGCAAGAAGAAATTGACTTGAAAATAAAATGTTGTAAGAGAGACACGAATTACATATTGAAGTTGTAATTAGGTAAAAAACAAATACCATGAATTTTTCGATGTTTGATCTGTTGAAAATGTATCGTTAGTCTTTCGTATATTCTGACTTTTCTTAACTGATCGTGTAGGTTTGTCTCTCCCCACATGCATATCGGACAACTGACAAATGTCATTAACAATTCATACTGGACTAATTAGAAGGCAACCGTATTAGAGGTCTGTATCTCTCTCTCTTGTCTATCGAGAGACATAACTTGAAAGGTAGGCTTTATACTCTTCCTACGTTTATTAATATTTCAATTATGATAGTTCTAATTTGCGCGATCATCATCTATCATTATCTGGAGACAAAGAACAAAACTACTTAATATGAACTATAAGTCAACTACTTTAAGGGCAATTCATCTTTTGACTTTTTACTTATAAAGTCTTTTTATCACATGATAAGATGTTCTTTGATCAAACCGCTACCTTTACTCCTCAGTTTTGAGGCAAAAATTCCAAGTTAGTTGAAGATCGACTTCAGAGCTTCGCGAAAGACTTATTCATATTGCGTTAGTCTTTGGAGATCTGATCACAAAATCTGGTGTCAAGTGCGACGGTCTTCATTGAAAGATTTCAACATCTCTCTGAAGATCAACGTATGATCCGCGAGTAAGTCAACAATCTACAAATTGCGGAATGCGCGCAAAGTTAAATATTTACGATTTTAATGTATATTTCATGATAGAGTAATAAATATAAAATAAGGAACATCGCAAATGCATTTTTTTTTTTTTTATACAATACGCCGTAGTAAACTTTTCACAAAAAAAGTATATTGCAAGTTTGTCATTTATGTGCGAATGATGAAAAAGTGATGAATTTCTATTTCTCTGTATTTGTAGTGCAACTTAAAATATCGTAATGTATATTATCAAAAGACATTTTATGTAAAAAGAGACGATTTATATATATTTTGTGTTGTTTTCTTTGTTTTATAATATATGTATCAAACAATGTACAATAATGTATTGAATATGTTTTTGTTAATCCATAAGTTGTATTCACACTTTCTGTATGACAGTTTTTTGCACACTGACACTAATATAGCTTAATGAAAACGAAAATGTCTACGACAAACCATCACAGTTCAAGGACATTTTCTTTCTACTTGGCTCTTTCCGCTTTCTTCGTACTCCTGACTGGAGATCCACATTTGTTGAAAAGTCCCAATTGATGCCAATATCGAACCACCGATCCAGGCACCGAATCTTCTTTCCGCACAACCATTTGCGCTGATCAATTTGAGACGCATGCTGGAAGGTATTCTCATGGACAAATCTCTATTCAAACGTTCTGGGAATCCCTGTGTGCAAAAGTACGCAATATTTTGTCAATACATGCAAAAAAGCAAATGCCTTGATACATTCTGTTGTATCAATAAAAGGTAAAAATTAAATAATAAAATAATTATTGATTGGATAAGAAAAAGGTCACACTTATTTTTAGTTTTTTATTTAAATTCTACCTGAATAAACGAATTGCCACCAGTTACCACAACGCTTCCATAAAGCGCTGGTCGTACGTCAACATCGCACATACCAACACTGGTTGTAACAATATGTCCCACTCCTAACATAGTATTACCAACCATACCTCCGCGCATTTGTACTATACTAGGATCAAATAACGCCTCTGGTATTCGAAATCTTTCACTTCCAAAATCCTTAAAATTTACAATATACCATCTTGTACATCCGTTGTTTTTATCTCGTATAACTTATTCACAAAATTTAAGGTGTCAACTTTGAAAACTCTTATTATTTAATGTGAAGTGTTAATACTCTCTTGCATAAAATATATACCTGATGATATCCCGTAGGAAATTCATATTGAACTGCAGGAATGGTAGAAACAATTTTTTCATCATACGGTGTTTCCGATACTTGGAGAACTGTAGCCTGAAAGTCTTGAATTACTTTTTTTACCATGTAATTGTGCCAAGATCTGGTAACTTCTGGTAAACCTTTTTTCGGAATCCATCGTGGTTTATCGTGGTCTTTAACAACCTCTTTGCTACTCACCATATAAGGTGGTGATAAGTCGATATCGTTGTCCTGTAGGTATTCAAGATAAATAAGAAAAACAAGAAAATAAAATTAGAGAGCAAGTTACTAAATATTTGTCTACCTGTAAGAATTGTCTGCATTGCATAGTTATATAATCACCGCCAAGAGGAGACTTAACAATGGCTTGTGTCAGTACAAATCCATCTTGAACAGGTACTGCAGATGTATGAGTAGCACCACTGTCAACAACAATACCCGTTGCTCTACCATTTGCAAATGCAGCTAAAACTGCATTTTTTACTAAGAAATAAGCTGGCACATTATATTTCTCAAACATCAGTTCAGTTAACTTTTCTCTTTTACTACGCACATTCCATGGTGATTCAGAGAATAACACAGGATGATATTCAGCATCAGACTGAATTATTTTTGAATATGTATAATCTATGACCTAAAACAGAGATAAAGCATGTTTTCAACTATATATGTTTGTTTATTTATTTCTTACTTGTAAGAAATATTAGATATTTATGTTACCTTTTCAAAATGATCCCAATCTTTAATCATGCCATCTTCCATATAACTTGCAATCTCCATATTTTTTCGTGGAACATGAAGAATTGTAGTGTCAATATAATATTTGGTCCCACTTTGAGTGATATTGCTATCTGGCTTTTTATCATCAATATCCATGGGTTCTACTTTAGTGGCTGTGCCATTGGCATCTTCTCCTATACCAACAACAGCTGGAATTTCTGCCTTTGGAGTATCCTCTTGAGCATAACCCACTCTTAGAGAATGATGGCCCAAGTCAAAGACTAACGCTCCTATTTCATCTCCACCATATAACATACCTCCAGACATCTTGACTGTTTCTTCAAAAATAACATTTAGTTATTGTTTATTATTTATATTACGTATCAATAAAGATCTTATATTTAAATCATTCTTTAACGCTATGCAACTTAATTTTAATATAAATGTATAAGAAAACCAATACTTCCTGTGATATATACAATGCACACACATCAAAGTATCAAAATATCACATCTCATATATTCGAAAAAACTCACCGTAAATTCTTTATTACAAAATCTAACTTAACAAAATAGTATATGTTTGTTTAAAGGGGGTAACACCAGGAGCTACATGAATGTTTAATATTAGTGAATTTTACAATACATGAACACAACATAACACATTAATCTGACGAGACACCACAAGACGCTTAAGCAGTGCTGCTAACTGCTAACACCAGAGAGAAAACTGAGAGCGGCCTATAAGAGAATGTGTAATCGCTTTTCCGCCCTGTAAGCCAGCGCAATGTCCATGAGTGGTGCACATTAGCAACTACATAGCCATGTCCACAAAAAACTTGTCGGTACATACGTTATGTTCACACGTGGACATGAATCCCCTATGAAAATCTCCCCTATGAAAAAGCCTTCCCACTCTATACTCATTGGTTGCCAGCGAATATTCCGCGCGCAAATCTATCCCCACTTTGTTCGCTTTCTTTCCGCCATGTGCAAATCGATTCTCTTCTGTCTTTGAACCCAGTATAAATTCCGCTGTATTCACACTCTGTTCAACGAGAGAATATTTTCGATCTGCACACAGAGGAAGCAAAACGGGCAAAATAGAGATAGCGCAGGATACTCGCTGCAGCAAATGGCTGTAGAATGAGCTTCCTGATAAAAGATATACGCGAAACGGACGAATTTTCGCCCGCTCCAATATTCTTTCAATGAACAGAGAGTATTTTTGTGAATTTATAATAGTCGTTGACATATGGGAGCGACTGTCTCACATAAATCTGGTTGAGGTGATGGAAATTTTCATTACCAAAGCGTTTGATTACTGAATATCGTAATTGATCGTAAAGCGTAATACATATTGTGTCAGGAAACAAGGGCTATGTTTTGAAATTCATCGCCATCAGTATTAAAATAAATTATAAACAAAGTGTAAAATATATATTTGAAAGAGTATTAAGAATTATATATATATATATATATATATTCACACAAATTATATATATATATTAAATATATATACAGTATAACTAAATTGTAGTCAGTGTAGAGAAATATTTTATTTTAACATATTTTTGATTCAAAATGCACTTGAAGAATTAGTTAATTTGGTAACAAATTCATGAATTTATATATGTATACAAATGTGCTAAAAAATATTAAGTAACACAAAAGTAAATAGTTTATACGAAAAAATATATAAGTAGTTTACATATTAATGTGATTTATTTATATTTCACATACCAAGTTTAAGATTGCGCAACAGCTAACATTTCTTCTTGATGAATTAAATGTGTTGTATGATTCACAAGACTCATTAATTTCGATAAAGAAGCAGCCCATGTATCCAAGAGAGCAGCTGGTTCTTGTGTACCAGTAAAACGAACTATGCCGGCTGGACGATCTGTACGCGCGCTGATTATTCCAGTTTCTACTAAGTTGCAAAGACAGGCTTCCGTTTCTTCAGCTGGAAGATCTAGCAGTTCAGCCATACGAGTTAAGGTAATCTTGGTGTAATATTTAGCCATGATCCTGATGTTCTAAAAACAAATTTCAACACATAAAAAAATAAACAAAAAAATATTGTCCTTCGCTCGCTTTTTGTTCAAATGCAAGTCTTATAAAACAGAACTGTGTACTATAAAAAACAGAAAACGGAAGTAAAGTTGTTGAGAATCATGAAGACATACATAATTTCAACTCTGTGTATATATTTTTGAATTTTTTGTTCTAAGCATATTTATAATAGAACTTACATGTTCTACAACACGATTCCGCAAATCTGTCCATCGTTTGCGACCTTCTTCTGTTGAGGAAGAGAAAACTTCAGTTGCTCTAAGATCTTTCTCATAAATTTCACACAATCCCGACCATTTTATTAACTCGGGATTTACAAATAAACGTAGTAATTCCCTGTAAATTTAGTTCATATTCTTTGAGAAAGATAAAAAAGATATACGAGCGAATAAATTTTCTAATGGTTAGTGTGTACAATTATCTTACTTGTATGTGGGTATCTCATCTAAAAGTTTGTCAGCAAGTAATCTATGAGTCAAATCAGCTTGCTCCGGTTCATGTGGAGCAAGCACAAGATATAAGACCGCTCGAGAAAGTGCAGTATGTCTTTTCTCTGAATCGTCCCGAATCGTAGGAGTCTCTAATACTGCTCGATTATGACGGCATAGTTCCAGATGCCATCCCTCATGACGAGCCAATTCCATCATTAAACTAAGAAAAAAGAAAATAAATTGATTGCGAACACCGTTACTTCTATAATAATCGAAATAAAAAACGATTCACGTACTCATAATATTTCAACTTCAGAGCTTGAGTTTCTTCATCATTCTCATCACTGAAAAATTTAATATTAATTTTCTTAGCAATAATTTGTGTTCTCATGAAATCTTTTTTTGCCAAACAGAGTCTCATCTGTTCCAAGATAAGAGAAGCTTTTTCTCGTCGTGACATACTGCCATATGTTTCCACCTGTGCAATATGTTATTTAGTATATGTTCGGTTTGCAAGCAATATGTTTAAAACTTTAGTTAAATTTCTAAGAATACCTGTAATTCAAGCATTACTGCCGCAGCACCTGTAATGTCTCCTTCTGCCTCCTTTATTTTAGCTAAACGATGTGTAAGTCTTGCTCTTTCCACTTCCACATATATCTAATTATATAGAATAAATTTTTTCTTTAACACTTATAAGTGATAATTTTAACATGCTTTAATATGTCTACGTAAGAGACTTTACTGGCTTTAAATTACTAGAAATTTTTAGTCTACATCAGTTCATATAAGTTACTAATATATGAGTATGTGTATATATACACATGTATTTTACCTTTCCTTCTGTGACTAAACGAAGTGTTTCTATTAGTTTCACCATAACTTCTTTATTAGGCATTTTGTCTATGTAAGTGCAACATTCTTGAACCATTTTTGTAACAGCCTGTTTAAGCTGAGTACGTCTCTTTGATAATAAAATTATGTGTTCATTAAGTGCAGACCAATTTTTTGCTTCTAAGCAAATCTCAACTATAGCTACCAGAAGTCTTGATGTCGATGGCATATCGGCACTCTAAAAATGTCAAAAATAAAATTAATAACATATACACATATATAATTTGTTTATACTTAACAGTTCTGGTAAGTTTTTCCAAAGCCAATAATTGATCCAAAGCATCGTGGAGCTTTCCTTCAGAAGCAAGTTTCTTGCATTCTGGAATTTTTGTATCGCATGCACTACTGTAATTCATTTCCATCTTTACAAGTCTACCAGAGTTGTCCATTGCTGTGTCTGCCATTTTTATTCTCTTTGACAATATCTAGATTTTGATCACACAAAGAAACAATCATCAAAAAAATAAATAATATAAAATTTTTTTTTTTTATTAACACTCTTTCAAATATATATTAGTCATTCTTTTTATCCTTGTGACATTACTATGTATTCTATCTTAGTTAGGAGAAAGAGGTTATACTACAAGGCCAGTATATTATAGATATAGGATAAAGAATTCAAAAAATATATAAAAATACATGGGGGTTTTCATTTGAGGAATAAAAGAACAAATTAATAAACACATATTTCTCATATAAGATCTGTCAGTTAAAATGATCCAAAGTTTACTAAATCACAATGTGAGTTCACACATATAAAAATATATATACTATTGTTCTACGTGCAAATTATATAACATTCACATTTATTTGTATGTTTTTCACATCAGATCGTACTCACTTTACTTATTTGAAATCACAATTGGTTCAATGTAATACAAATAACATGTATAAAATATCTCACCGCGCGTGCAGAAACACTGTTCTAAATTGATTATCACGATATGGGGAAAAAATGGAGAAACTTAAGTGTTAAGCTTGTATCAGACTCCTGTAAGGAATTGGTCGCGTTCAGCAACAAAGATTTGGTCGTTAATCATTGGCGAATCTGAAATCGTTAACCGTAAAGCCTATGACACACTACGGATTGGGATTGAGATTGGATTGAAATTTGACCAATCAGAAAAAAGAAACCCAATCCTAAGTTTAGTGATCTTTACTCTGATTGGCCAAATTGCAATCCAATCTCAATCCTAATCCGTAGTGTGACATAGGCTTAATGCAAGTTATGCCCAATAGTTGACGAACATCACAATGTGCTGCTGAACGCGCCATTAGAGATTGAATTGAAATTCGACCAATCAGAGCAAAATTCACTAAGCTTGATGTTCTTCTTCTGATTGGTTCAATTTCAATCCAAATCACAACTCTTAATGCAGTGCTTGATACGGGTTTAAGATTTTTCGTGTGTTTTCAGCTTACACAACCTTAAAGAGATCGCGACGATGCGCAGAGCTGATCAGCTGTTCTCACCTAATCACGATACTTCGTATTGGTGCGTGTATGTATGTTGTACATGCGTAAGTTCGTATAATAGTATTACTTTGCACATAAAAAATGAGCACGCGCCAACGATCTGTTTCAGTGTAGCATCTTCTCGGTCGATCAAAGTTCGTGAAAGTTTTTTAAGCGCCTTCGACAGGCGTATCGCATATTTACTTGACATCAGAAGCTTTTTGACAATTATACCACGTCAGCGGTCAGTTAGCTCGCTTTGGTAGTGGTGGTGTAGTGGTGTAAGAGTGTTGGTACATATGCAGCGCGTCGTCGGTGGTCGTCGGTATCGACACCATCATCAATGCGATGTCGGTATCGGTGATATACAGTGATACTAATAACAGAAACGCCAATAATACAATAGTATCTTTGTGTTTGAAATCAACAACGTTCGAACAAGTTGCTCCTGATGTGGTGGACAACGCCGCTGTCTCGTAAAAGAAAAGGATGAGATCCAGCGTGTTACGCCTATATTGGGCGCTATTCCTGATATCGATAGTGTCGAGGTAAATATATAATATATAGTAGTATATTATTATATATGTATGAGAAATATATTTGAATGTCTCACTTTCGAATATCAGATCATGTGACAATCACCGCAAACAATTTTGTTTGTAATCAAGATGCCAAGTTTTTGGGCTAAGTTTATTTTTCTTTGCATGTTACACACATATTCAAATAAATTGTTTGCGATTAGTGCGAATTTCTTTAATTTTCAATAACAAGTAACTTTAGAACAAAACTTTTTATTCTTTTTTGCTTTATTTTTCTAGTCCGATAGAAGAGTTATTAAACTACAAATTCATTTAATTGCAATTAAATATAATTTTCTTTTATATAACATATAAAACATGTGCAGAAAATTTATAAATATTGCAATATTTAATATATTGATATCAATTTTATGTTACAGTAGTCTTCTGTTTCTTATAGTAGCTTTGGAAGGTGCACAAGCAAAAGTTACCCCTTTTCATCTGGAAGAGAATGATACGTACAGTATGACTTATGACAACATTACACTCAATTATGATAATTATGAAAATTTTGAGTCATCTACTACATTAAACACTGAAACAGAAAGTTTGGCATCATTCAATACTAATGAAAAACATCTGGTAAGACAATTTGTACAATTGGACTTCTGTTGCAAGATAAGCAATTATCTATTTATATTTTATTTGTACATATGTATTATGTATGTACAAATTATGTATGTGAGATTTATAGTACGTTACATATGTACAAACTGTAATAATACACGCATAATTCACATACATACACAATACATATGACTTAATTTATCTTGCATTATCTTGTAGACTAAATCCTCCACAATCTCTGCTAGTTTTGAGTCAATTACCAACGACAATGTACAGGAAGAAAAAGAAATGGATGTTTTGCCAGAAAGTTTTATCCAACAGCCTAATCTTTCTCAAGGGTGAGTTCTATTTGATTTAAAATAGTCTAGTTGTGACAGCCAATATAACAAACTATGTGATATTTAATAAAGAAAAATGATCTAAAAAATAGTATAAATTACATGAGTCTGTAAATTTAAAAGTTAAAATTTCTTTAGAAACTTGTCTGTATACGTAGGAATGTTATTTGTCAACAGAAATTTTTAATTTGAGAAATTTTTAAGTCTTACTTGCCTTATACTTGTTATTTCTTCTTGATTGTGCTACTATCTAAATATATTATTTATTATCTAAATATAATATTAGTTTTTACGAACACATCGCAACAAAAATGAGGTGAGAATACAAGACAGTCTTTCTATTGTGAGAATGCTAGGGTTTCATTCTCGAGAGCTAGATGTTAAATCTCAGCTGTTTACCGAATAATTTTTAAAAGGCTTCCCGACGGTATTTCCGCGCATAAATGACATTTCAGGAAAACACGCGGCATGTGCGCGCTACGTATACAAATTAGATTTTGGGTGTGAAGTTAACGTCAGACTACATTATTCGCGCGATTCGCGGTTGAGTCTTCTTTAATCTCGTAAAAAAGTTCGCTCTATTCGCTGTTCAGTGAAAATGACAAGTCATGCGAGAATCGACAAGTCTATCTGACGTATATGAATTGCGAATTAGGGAAATCGCGGACATGCATGCAATCCGGCGTCTGATTTAATGAGTTTCAGTCGCGAAATTTTATTGCGCGCGTAAACACTTGATTGACGACCGATACACATATCGCATAGGTACGTGTTACAGCACGTGTGGTGCGTAGCACAGTGTGTTGGTGTTGCGTTTTATTATAATTGAAAGAACGTACGGAGGTGGAAGAAGAAAGGAAAGGAGTGAATGAACCAGGTGGGAATTTATTGAAGAAGAAAAACGCAGATTAGAAAAGATGAGAAAAGAAGAAAGTCCTGGCAACACGGAAAAAAACAGAGGAAAGAAGAAGGATGGAAGTAGGCTAGCGGTATGACAGAACAGATCAAGAAGAAAATTGTATGTATGTATGTGCAACGTAGTAGCGCGGAAGGGTCGCAGCACGCCTTCGTATCGTACTGCGAGGTCGCCGGATCAGTCAGTTTGCATTCGATTATCGGTGTGAACGCCTGAACGGACTCGATTCCTTTTTGCGATCTCGCGATAGAAATCGCACAGGACGAGACAATACGAACACAACTAAAATACGTGTTGAAATGTGATGAAAAAACAAACGTGCATACTTTTTACACAAGTTTATTCAATTATATAATTACTATTGTTGTATTATTTTTACATAGCAACAATATTAGAATTAACAAAAACACCTACGAGATTAAAAAATAGTTAAAAAAAAAAAAGACATTCGAAAACTTGATAAGTGAAATAATATTCTTTTATTGAAATAAGGGGCGGGGGATAACACAAAGCAGTTGATTGTTTACTTTATAGCGATAGCGAGACAGTGATTAAAATTGGATGTGTTATCACTCGTATTTGTTGGTAAGATATGCATCTATGGCGAATACCAGAGCTGCCAAGATTGCGAAAGAACCGGCCGCTACTGTTTGATTGCTGTATTCTTCCAGATATGCGTGAATTAAATTAGTCGACAAATTGTCCCAGTCGCGAATAAGAACGAGGCCAGCAGTGCAACACAGAATCGCTCCCATCGTCGTAAACATAAGAGCCTGTAAAACACGATAAATGGAACAGTATAGTTAATTCGTTATTTATTGTTGCGTGCTACAACTTTGAAAGTCGCATTATATTAGCAGAGGAAAATACAATTATAATAATTCGTAACGATGAAGTCAATGAATTCTTCAAAGAAAGTGAATCCAAGTAACTTATTGGAAAGTAAAGATCACTGGAAGTTGGAATTTTAATAAAATTACCTAACTTGTGTACGTGTAATTGTTTATATCAACAATTTAGTGGCTTTTATAGATTATCCACGCTTATTTTTCGTCGATTATTTTTCTTTGCCAATGTTAATTATAATTAAATTATTATTATATTTAACCGAGTTTCTCTTATTTTATCATTTTTCTCAACGTACCGTTTTTTTCGGAATTTGTTCGTCCAATAAATGGCTCATTATAAGAATCGCGTTTATAAGAATATACCCGCATACTGCCACATGAAATAACGCTATATGATGGATATCATCCGTACGTATGTGATTCTGTTGAAACGGTCCTGCCACCAAACCCGTTGCAATGACGCAAAGAATCTGAAAACGTTCTATCGTGTATTATTTCTGTTACACAAAACAATCGAGATTTTCTTTGAAATAGTTTGAACACGACTCTTCTTCATATGAGAAAATTTCACGACTAGTTAAATTTAAGAAAAGAAACCAAGAATTTAATCTTACTAATTCGACAATTTTGCAAAAAAACGGTGCTTTCTTAAGATATCCCTTCAATCTTGTGAAAAAACTCGATGCAGCAGTAGTGGTCTCTTCAGGCATTTTTCACGTCTCACTTTATTGCACTCTTTTTCCGTTTGTAAACGTATTGTAATCAGTTCAATAATCGGATCCGAAAGAGATATTTTTTGCCAACTTCAAGAATTTGTTCCGTTCAACTACTGACTTGTCACAGTATCACAGTATGACACTTGACTAACATTAAACCCACGAAGTCCCCACTTTCTCGCTAAATGTATGTGATGCATTAATGCGTCATTACAATTGTTCTTGATGTTCAACCTCGAATCGTCCCATAAGAACTGGGACAATCTGTTCTCTAAAATTCGGCAGAAAAGCGAACCGATTTTGGCGACCGATTCGACTCGATTTTAACAAGTTCTGTAAGTCGTATGAAAGACAAAAAATATATTTTTTCCAATCGCAAACACAGAACAATTCTTTTTTAGTTTGCATTTACTTATGTTTCGAGTAACATATGAGTTTATCACACACGAGAATAACAGTAGTTTTGTCACAACAAAGTTTTAAATTACTTCGGATGTTTGTTATCAAGTTTTTTATACACACGTATACATAGATTTGCATATTTTATAAAAGAGAGAGAGAGAGAGAGAGAGAGAGGGGGAGAGAGAGAGAGAGAGAGAGAGATAGATAGATAGAAAAAGAGACAGCCAAGAGCGTGATATTTATTTTCTGTAAGTAGAATTCCATAATAGAGTTTTTTTGCTATTTTACTTCAAAATGGCATTTCTTTTCTTCGTCTGTTTCCTTATATTTCTTCGCGGTAAAATATATCCGAGTAGGAACCACGCGTGAAAATAATACTGTTCATCGCCTACACTAATTAGATGCCACGCTCGTCCACTCTCTTAATTGATCGTAACTTCTTTGGAGTTCTTCCTTCTCACTGTGAGCACTCTTTTTTTCTTCTTATTCTCATCATTAGTGTTAACAGAAAGAAGTTCTCTCACCATAAGAAGAAATACGAAAATACAGTTTTAATAAATTTCTAGATAGATAGTAACAAAACCTTTAAATTTTTGCGTATGACGCTTCCACATCATTGTCATTATGTACATGTTACTTTTGTGATCATTTATAAAAGTAAATGAAAATTTTTTGAGTTCACTTAGAAGGACCATCTGTGTATAGATGTAAATGAACTCTTGTGATCAATGTAAAGTTAATAATAGCTTACATCTTGAAGAAACAGGAAATGCTGCATTGTTGATCATTCGGTCTGCCTACGTAAAATGATTGTGAACTGTGAATGAAACTTGTAACGCCTGCAAACTTTCTCTCTCTCTCTCTTCCCCTGCGTGTTGCGATATAAAAAATACTACATTATGGGCGTTGACATTCCGTGTGTATTAAGTTGTTCGAAATTACTGTTTTTTAAGGGGGAAACTAGTTTAAACGAGCTAAAACAAAGCTATTTTTTGTAAAATTGTCTTAATTTTGAAAGGGATACATTTAATTAATATATACATTAAAAATAATTATTTCTTTATTTATTATTTTCCAAATTCCTCTTCTGTAAGTACAATCATTATTGGTTATTTGTTGCCAGGTGTGTAGATATCACTGCAACTCTATATTTCGGTATGTCGGATGATTATTTTACCTGCTATGTCTCGATTAATTTAGTTAGAGATTCTTGATTGATCCTCAGACAAATTAGTGTTTGCGAGCGAAATAGCGGGGACATATTTATAGAGATAAGACAGTATTGCAGTCGCTCGTTGATCGATACTTGCCAGACCGTGAAACGATCGAAGCTTTTACTTTTTATTAGCGGTGTCATCGTCTTCACCTGAGAGTGTTCGTTCACAATACGCCATTCGTTCCGATTAAATGCACATACATTAAGTCGATCGTACGAAACTGCTGTCATAATAGGGCTATAATCGTCCGGAAGCAGAGGAGTAGGCGGAAGTCAATTTTACCGATTTTGTCGCGCAGTGCTAATGTATGCAATCTGCAAATATCTACAGCTTACGTTGCTCGGCATATAGCTAAGCTATCTCGAATTGTTTGTTAAGATAACGTTTGATTTGAATTTGATGTGAATTTGATCGTTACAGCTTATGTGTTTGGTGGTGAAACTTCAGTGCTACGTGACAAAGAGTGTACATTTTTGCTATATTCTTCCCAGAGTTTCAATTACCGAGTACTACTTGTACAATAACATTCTAAGCATGTGTATCGTCATCAAGAATAAATATTGTGTCTCTCTTACTTGTGATATATTTGTAAAAAAAATTATATAGCGAACGTCACAGTATTACGATAAGACTTAAGCAAGAGATAGAAATGATTAAAATAATGGTAAAGTAGTAAGATTAGTGCTTCAACCTCTAAGGTCATGGCCATTGTCAAGAATAACAACGGTGGATGTTCTCTGAACTGGATTGATAATTCTGCCGGACAATTTATAGAGTTTCTTCAAGCAGCTGTTTATTATTTGATTGCATTGGCAGTCTTATGGTACATTCCCACGTGTTTCTACCATCGGTGAGGAAACGTTAACAAGGATGTCTTCGTTGTAACTCTAAAAAAAACTGGCTTTTTTTGAAATAGTGTTATCTTTTTTTTTCAAAATTTGAAAAGGATCAAATTGATAAGTAAAATAGATTGATTCCAATAAATCTTGTTATCTCATATTTTGGACTTTACTTACATATACGAGAAAAAAAGTAGATTAGGTTTAGAGGTAGTTCTTGTAAAATAAAAAGCACTTATCCATTATCTCGTAATTATTCCTTTCTGCGTATAATTAACGTAAATTAAAAGATGTGTTCTATAACACACAAAACTATTGGGAATAAGTAGTAAGCACAAAAGTATATACTATTGCAGTGTTGTAAAAGTTGATTTGATAGAGAGATGAACTTCGCGCAACATGACAAGTGTTTTTTTTTTCTTTTCACAGAATCTCCGAGACTGGCCAAGCGGTGGTGTTGACGCTGGTTGACACCGCAGCAGCGGAGTTGCAAAATATAGCCGAGCCAAAAATTGATCGGGAGTTTTCTTCAAAGTCATCCGTTACGAATTCGTCATTGTTGAACGGCAATCAAGTGAGACAATCCGAACAGCTGAAAGAGACGCAGATGCCGATGACGCAGATGCCACCACCACCGACTATTGACGAGACCACGGAGCAACCAAATGATACTGATATTCTCAAGGATAAGGAGGAAGTACTCGTTTTAAAAAAGATCTCAGAAGAAACAGGATCCCAGAAGATTCCGGAAGCTGTGGTCGTCAAGGCAGAGAAGAACGGGGACGACTTGGAACTTAGAGTCGAGGAAGAAGTCGGTCAGATGGAGTTGCCTACGAAAGTTACCGATGACACATTTACTACGGAATTGAACGATTCAGCAGCGAGAGCTCAATTGGTCGGTGGTAGCAGAGACGATACTGCGGCAGTTATTATAAATGGATTCGTTACTTCAGGTCCTACTGATCCGCATGAAGATATACCATCTTTTAGTGAATGGGCGCAGAAGCGTTTGGAAGAGGCTGAGAAGAAAAAAAGTGAGTGTTATTTGCAATTTTATTTATATTAAAAGTTCTAAGACCTTGGAAGTTAAATTTATATTGTAGATGCAAAATAAGAGCATTAAATTGGATATTATTTCATTAAAATAGAGATTTTTCTATTATTATTATATAATTGTTTTGTAGCTCATCCAAATGCCTCCGTACAGACTCCGGGTAGTCCAGGACGAGGTGTAAGTGGCATGAAGATCCGTTCCAAGAATTACGCTTCTCCCGACTGCGGAGCCAAGATCGTGGCGGCTAACCCCGAAGCAAGTAGCGCGAAAAATGTTTTGGTATCCACACGAGACGAATACATGCTCAACGCCTGTACGTCGCGCATCTGGTTCGTCGTCGAACTCTGTGAAGCAATTCAAGCTAAGAAGATTGAGTTGGCGAATTTCGAGCTTTTTAGCTCATCGCCCAAAGACTTCTCTGTCTACGTGAGTGATCGCTTTCCGACCAAAGATTGGATTTCGGTCGGTCAGTTTACAGCCAAAGACGTGAAAGACATTCAGAGCTTTGCTTTACATCCTCATTTCTTTGGTAAATTTATTAAAGTAGAGCTTCAATCGCACTACGGGTCGGAACATTTCTGTCCTGTTTCGTTGTTTCGCGCTTACGGTACCAGCGAGTTCGAAGTGCTGGAAACCGAGACGGAGAATCAGATTTTACAAGAAACGAATACGGATGAGCAGAACGACGATGACAGCGACGAAGAGGAGTTGTTGGACAGTGAAGACAGTGATCCACCAAGAAATCTCTTTGGCAGTGCGCGCGACGCTGTGCTGAGTATCGTGAAGAAGGCCGCAGAAGTTTTGGTGAAATCTAGCGACCTCACCGGTAACAATATCACGGAGATCCAGCAAAGTATCGATGATGATAATATTTTGGATAGCTCGTACACGACCTGTATGACACCCAGATACACGATTTTCTGCGACAATTGCTCCGATCATAAGTTTGCCAGCGTTTTCCAGTTGGTTAGTTGCAGAGATCGTCAATTGAATGATTTGCTCAAGATTGATCTGATGAACACTACGCTGAGACGTAGCAAATTATGCGGCCTTCACGATGTGGAAATCGAATCATTATGGCAGGGAAAGGAAGAAGAAATAAAACATGACGTTACAACGCATTTCAATCTGACGGAAGATCTTCGCGCGATTTTTTTAGCTGCAGTTTTTAAACCCGAATATATCGTAGCGTTGTGCAACGTTTTGGCAACGAAGGAGCGCAAAGTGGTGATGAACATGAGTTACGAAATTTCTGTAAATAATTCCGAAGACACTATTAAAGAGGACGTTTTACTCAAGAAGACTACTACGAATCACAACGACGAGATAACTTCTTATCATCAAACGTCCACTATATGTACTCCTGACTCGGATTCTCCCGCTTGCAAATTGGCCGCTCCTCCTAAAGAGACTCGACGGAACATTAGTGAGGAATCAGAAAAAAACAATACGGCATTCATGGAGACTTACGTCAGCACAGAAAGCTTGGCAGCACAGATAAAACCTACTAAGACGTTAAGTAAAGAGGATCTAAAAAGAGAATCTTCCGTACAGAATTTAGAACCTAGTAAGGAGTCGACGGAGGAGACGGTACAGCAGGAAGTGCTGACGACTCTTCCGCCACAGCTGCTTACTAATCCAACTGCGACTTTAAAGATTGTCGAGGAATTGCCAATTCTAGGAACTAATGTTGAAATGACAACCCAAACTGTAAACACCGGTTCGTCAAATCTTGATCAACAAGATTCCCTTTCGACTAATACGGAGAGTGTTGAGATTGTCACGCAAGGTCGAACAGACAAATCAGAAAGTAATGAGCAAATTAGTAAGCAAACAAAGGATTTGAACGAGCAAGAAGTTCATCTCACACTGGATACATTGTTTGACTTGAAAGATCTGGAGGGCGACACGGCTAATTTACAAAATGGCGTGTCTTCTAGCGCTTCGGCAATGACCCAGCCCACTGCGACTACCGCGCCTCAGAAGGAGTCTGTTTTTCTCCGATTGTCCAACAGAATTAAAGTAAAAATAAATTATACATTTGTATTAGAATGTTTTTGAAAAAAATATTTTAAAATAATATTCATTAGAAAACTTATATTAGAGAATCAAATTTTATATTCGAATATACGTTATAACAAATATATTATATATAACATTACATTTACTTATATTTTTTCAGACGTTAGAAAGAAACATGTCACTCAGCGGACAGTATCTGGAGGAGTTGAGTCGTCGTTACAAAAAGCAAGTCGAAGAAATGCAGCGTTCGTTGGAACGTGCACTGACTGCTATGAACGAGGAGTCTCGAAAGAGTGAAGAGCGCGAAGCCAAGAGATTAGAGGAGATCACCGCTTTAAAAGAAGAAATCGCTGCACTTTCCAAATCAGTCGAAACTCTTCTATATGATCGTGACAGTCGAATATCGACGATTATCCAACATACCTTGCTGATCTGCTTGGAAATTGTTGTTATTTTCTTCATTATCTTCTACTGTTGTAGAGGAGGAGAAGATTTTGAGGAAGAAGAAAAACTTCAAGTCGATACAAAAAAAGGTACTATGCGTCGAAAGAGTGCAGAGAGCTTCGGTTCTGACGTCGCGATAAAGAAGACAAAGAAGCGACGACCTAGCGAGATTGCCTCTCACATAAATACCACATATCGTGAGTTAATGATAGATGATCGATCTTACGAAACAAAAAAGGAGCGGAAGAAAAAGCGCAAGAAAGAAGCAATCGCAGCAGGAACTAAAATAGCCAATAGCGACGCCAAGCAACAAGTTCCTCAGAAATCTACATTGAACATTACATCAGAAACCTGCAAGAGGCCGGATTACGAACTCGAAACCGTTGTTGTTGATCGTTTCGACAACGGTCAACAAACGAAAATGGAAGAACGTTCCGCGGATAAAATCTCTGAAATGGAATATGCGCGACAAAATTCCGTACTTGATTGTCGAGTCGACGAAATGAATGAGTCATATTTGTCATCGACGATTACGGATGAATTGATCGAGAGATCAACTATGATTTCTCGACAACGAGAAATTGACACATCGAAAAATGGTTCATTCAAGACTGGTGGTATCCTCAAGAACACAAAATTGACCTCGCCATCCTTCATGAAAACTGCCCTGAGCACGAGAAATAAGAACAGGCTCACTTCGTGTTCTACATCCGAGAAGTGGGAACGAGATTCGGAACATTCGAACAACAGATCTTCTCCATCCAGTCCTACGCGTTTGCAGACTATTGGTGATAATACCAATGGCATCGCGGCCAATGGTCTGATTGAAGAAAGCGACGAATCGAGAAGTAGTAGCGCAACACCTACATTAGATAAAAAAGAAAAGAAGAGCACTGGTCTGAAGAAAATGGTAAGGAAATTTTTCTGATTGAAGTAGAGCTGCCACTATATTAAAGCAGGCTGAATTGAAGCTTTGATATTTGCTTCAAATAGATATAATACGAATTGAAGTACTTCTCGAATTAAGCAAAGAAAATATGAAACTTAGAGGATAAGAATATAAAACAAGATTGAAAAGACTGGTGAGTATAACTAGATATAAACATTCGTATGCGTGATTAAGGAATTAAAAATAAAATTAAACTAGAATTGGAGAAAGCTCTACATACACTTACGACATGTTATGTAGTAATTTTTCACTTAGCAATGTTTATTCCACAATTATCAATTGTTTTTTTTTTGTCGCGGTAGATGAAAGAGTACAGTATTTTCTTCCTTTTTTGTAATACATAATTAAATGTAATATATAATTCATTTAAACACACATGTTACACTAAACTAGCTCTTATTTTCGACTTTTGGATTTTTTCGAAACATCTCCGAGAATGGTTCCAATTGCCAAAAAACAATCTGTAAAAAAATTCAGCTCGATCGGATGTCAGAAAAAGGAGCTTTTAAGCATTAAAAAAATTCAACTGAACTTTTTCACAGATTATTTTTTTTTTAGCAATTGGAACCATTCTTGGAGATGCCGCGAAAAAAATTCAAGAAAAAAAAATTTCATCAGGAGTGAATAAGAGCCATCCTAATGTTACACATTTGAAAAATAGTCAAATTGGTTCACACAAATAATTTACACAAATGTGCTACATTGAGACAAAAAATTATGTGACACCAACATAAATGGTTTACTTACCAGTAAAAGACATACAATTGGCAGCTGTCAACATAATTCAGCGCTTTGTATTTATTATCTGTAATTGGTCTATTCCTCCAAACTTATTGCACAAATAGACACATGCCATTGACAAATAATAATCACAAAGCGCCTACTAAAGCTAGGTTCTGCTGAATGTAGTCAATATGCTATACGTAATTAATTTGGCTGATGGGTCACTAAAATACGCAAAGAAATACGTAAAATTACTATATGAGACGCATTTGTGTTATTGTCATAAACATGAGACCATCCCACCGTTCCGAAAAATACATATAAAACGATTTATAAACATAGAATAGCTCGTATATAGAGAACACTTATTTGTGCTCACACGGATCTGATAGACGCAACGGCGATTATATCTAGCAAAGTGATTATATATCTAGTAATCTTGAGAGAACATATTTTTACTTGCTTAAATTACTTGAATTTATTTAACTTACATCACTCGCCAAAGAAAAAGAAAGACAGTGAAAAGGTGAGAATGTGAAGGATAAAATCTTATTGTTAGAACGTTAATAGAATAGATTTTTTTGTAGTTACATTCATTAAGCTATGTCATCAAAAGCATCTCTGCATCTCTGTGAATTAACTTTCATTTTCAGTGATGCGCGTGAAATAGTATCAAAGATAGAAAAAAGAGAAAAAATGATTTGATCAGACGTGTATGTGTAAATATTCGTATTTGACACTTTTGTGTCTAATTACACGTTGAAGAAATGAATCCACGTATTAAATATACCTATCAAATTTAAACGTCTCGTTTGCACAAAAGAAAACAATTTGTCTTAAAGATGAGATTACTTTTGCTTTAAGCTTTAATATGAAGCAGAAATATTGGCATTGTACTTCATAAGTGCGTTACAATTGAAGTAGAAAACTAAACTTGCCGGTTGCTAGAGTTCCAAGTTTTTATCTTAGTTTTCTAGAAAATTAACGGATAGGAAAGAATTTGAGACGTGCGTATCAAACATTTTAGGCGTTTGTGTGCGTTTCTCATTACATCTGTCATAGTATGTTGTTTTTACTCTTCTCTCATACTTCTTTTCTGCCATTTTCTCGTCTTCCAACAATAATAAGTATATCAAATAAAATTAATTGTATATTTTTGAAATAACGATAAATTATGCAGAAATACGTATATATTCATTTTTTTGTTCAGGGAAACGAACTTCTCGTTTTATATGATTTGCATCATACAAGATACTAAAAATTTTATATAATTTTCAGTATATAGTAAAATGCGATTATATATGTATATTATTAAAATTTAAATAGAAAGATCTGTACAGATTATAAACTTTCATCAGAATATAGAAAAAGAAAAAAAAGCGCAGCGCACCAGAAGTGAGATCTTATTCGGATTTTTATGAATCTTTGTATGATTGTGTATGTGTCTGTGTTACACATGTATGATTTAATTAGTTAATTAATAGTAATTGTTTTTAGAAAGATGTGGTGTGNTATATATATATATATATATATATATATATATATATAGCACTATATATAAACGTATATAAACTGTATACGCAGACGTTTCTTTGTCGATGTACTAATTTTATGAAACCTATGCCATGAAAAGATATTCCGAAGATTAACAACGATTGTGCCAGCATTTTTGTATTTGATAAAGAAATGTGCTGTGATATCCCTATTTTAAAAGAGTTTGCGTAACGTAAGAAGACAAAAAACAAGAAGAGAAAATACGAAAAAAATAAAAATTATACGAAGAGATATACAGGAAGTAAAAACAAAAAAAGGAGATGGAAAACGTTTGAGCGAAAGAAATAATGAATTAAACAAATGACAAAGTTACTTTAAATTAAGAAACATGTCCTATTACTTAATGTGCATTTGAAAATTATATATAAATAGTGAAATTAATGTGAAGTGTGTATATAACTATGCTTGGAAAGTATGTTTGAGCTGTTCTGCGAGCTTTTTAGTGACTATATAATCTCTAGGTTTATTAAATTATTGTTACACACGCGTCGCGTTAACAAACGTTCAATCCGATGTATACATATTTATATCGCGATGTTGTTGAAAGAGAGAGAAAGTACTTTAATAATTATATATATACTTTCCGTTATACTGAATAGTAAATGTCATATGAAAATCATTAGGTTTTAAGGTCCTTATAAAGCAATGCGGATCACAATGAAAATACGAAGCTCGTTTCCACATGTGTTACTTTTATTATTACGTAGAGCGTAATGTTTACATAGAGCATAATATTTATTCTTCTCTTTCGAATTTGATGTAAAGATGCATGGGCGTAAGATATATAAATGTCTTACAGCTTTGTAAGTTTTTTTATGTCTTATATCAAATGTGTATACTTATACTGATTATTCGAAGTAGACCATGTTGTTTCGGAAAAAGTTTAGAGCAGAGAATCGAGCTACGTTATTTTCTCACAATTATCTTACGCTAGTCTCTATTACGAAATATACATATATATATATATATATTTGTACAATTATTTAATTTCTTTAAAAATGGATGTAGTAAATATGCAAACTTTTATTAATTTGTAGTTTGTATAAATGTATGATTCGATTTTTAGAAAAACTTAATACCGCAAGGATGTGTTTGAGCGTAGTTCTATATATATTACATAAGTAGTTATAACAAAACAAAACCACACAGTTTTATCATAAAAATGTTGATCCAACATTTCGAAAAACTTTTACAATTTGTGTGTATATGTATCTCTTACGATGTTATAATTATTTCTATCACGTATATAGTCATACAGTAACACAGTCGGTGGTGCAAATGTTTTGGCACATGAGGCTGCATCGATAATATTTTAAATAATGAAAATGCATTATTTGGTGCGGCCTCATGTGCTACGGCACCTGCGCCGCCGATTGTACATATGTATTGTGATATCAACTGTTTTCACACACATCATGTATATATATATATATATATATATATACATATATTGCAAAACGAGCAATCCCCATGAAAATTTTTGAGAATTGATGATGACGAAATACTGTATACAACACATATATGTGTATGTTTTAATGTGATACTTATTTTGAGATCTCTCCTTGAGTTTATTAATTAAAGTATTGGGTTTATGATTAATCTTAGTAAAATGCATTGCATAGAGTAATTTGCATCTTGGAGATTGCGCATTTTGCAATGGACACATTAAATAAATCATAAAAAACCAGATAAATGAGTGTAAGAACTATACAAAAAGGGTTTTAATATAATGAAAACATCACGTGTTACCCAATCAGAGGGGAGAGGAGTAACTATTATTATAAAATAAAAATTAAAACATTTACTTCAATTTATTAAACAAGATGTACTATTTTACATTCATTTTCTTCAACTTCTTGATGTGTGACGTTTTATTAATGAAGTTCTTAAAGTACGTCGAACTTTTTATTCTTCATTCCCAATTGTCCTCTAACTGTATAAGCAGTGTGTGAATTCAACAGACGCTGACATTCCGTAGTGAGTTCTTTATTAGTGACGTGTGGTTTGCTCTCAATGAATTTGAGAATGTTTGAGAAGCTTGACATTGCGAATACTGACAAATCTTATCAAGAAAGAAATAACACAAAAAATACGCAATGCGTATGTACAAAATAAATCAAGCTTTTAATTTCATTTAGTAAAATAAATTAAAATATGCATTTATGTTCACAAAACGATCACGATTCTATAGATAAACTTTTTAAAAGTGTGGAGGTATCAATAGCTTCTTTGAAAGAAGATAATTTTCTCGCAGTTGCTTGCTTGTTCAAATCGATGAAAGCAAGTCTAATTTTGTTTCTCCATTCTTTGATATCATGTTTTTCTACGGCACACATAACAATTTCGTTTACTTCGTCTTGAATTGTGTAACAAGTAATCGACTGAAATACCGAAGCTAAATCATCTTTCGTTTTCTGTTTCAAACTCTTATCTCTGCTAACCAAATTCAAAATAAAAAGACCATTTTCGAGTAAACATGATGCGACTGCTTTTAATACTGACATTTCGAGAAATTGTTTAGGTGGACAACTCATTCCCACAGTAGTATCTTTACTATCAATATCGAAAAGTACTGCTTTATATTTTTTCCCATGTGCCATGGCGTCTTTAATAAACTGAATTCCATCAGCAATCTCAACTTTCATTCTATCATCAAGAATAAGATTAAAGTACTCGGTAGCTACTTTTAACATCGCATTGTCAATCTCAACTGCCGTAATTTTTAACTGCAAGAGAATAATTTGCAAAATAAATAATACATTCAATTTCAATATATAACGCTCGATACATGATATTCATAAATAAATGGTACTTACTTTAGGGAAACAATGATGTAAAAACATACACAAGCCTCCACCTCCTAGTCCTATAATCGCGATTTCATCCTGCTTCTTTGTATCTATTGATGCATTCACGCCAGCACTCATATATATGTGATGTTCACAAGCTAAAAATCCAGGATCAGCAACTTTTTTTGTTTTACCACGTCGAGATATTGCTGTAAGTAATTTTATATTAATCAGTAATGTACGATCATTTACAATTATTGTGAAATTTCAAAGAATTTATGACAAATACACACCTTCCTTTAGTCTAGCTTCACTCTGAATAACATATGGATTGTTCAAAAACACAAGCCGTCTAAATTCATGATCGTCTTTCTTTACTTCTTCAACAATAAATGATCCACTAATGTCGCTCTTTCCTTCGTAACGAGTAATTCGAACCCCAACGTCGGGACCCAAAGACAAAAAGGGAATATCATTCTTGCCACACAAGCCAGCTGGCGCTAAATTACGAATGCAATCTCCCAATTCAGTTTTCACGGCATCCCAATTTTCAAACTTGTGTTCTCTGCGCAAAGTTACAATCGCGAGTCTGTCTCGTTGCGCGCTCTTTAACACTTGCTGTCGTCCTTCCTTTGTACTGAACAACCAATCCATTTCTCTGTCAAGAATCACAAAAACTAAAGTTTGTTGAATCATGTATAATAAATCGACAAACTCTTTCTGTTTCAAAAACATCAGACTTACTTTCCTTGTGGAACTATGAAAGCTGCATATGTTTTAGATCCACACATGCGTGGTTGATCGAGAACATAAACGGTATACCGTGGATGCTTATCACCTGGACGATGTAAATCCAGTGATATTTCTCCCACATCGGCGACATTCCTTTTGTGAAGACTATTGCATACCAATGCTGATTGTTGTGCAGACAATATAGCAGACATCATATCCTCCGTAGAAGATAATCGTTCAGGTGGGCCATCAACCAAAGCTATTTCCAAAACCTATTGAGATTACAATCTACAAAAATAAGTTTGAACCTGCTCATTGAGCTAAGAATAGAATGACAAGAATTTTAATGTCTTTGATATGCAACATACAGTCTGTGGCAATTTTGTAAACTTTGTAGCAATGACTACAAAGACTGGAACTGAACTGCCTTCTTCTATTCGCGTTTTTGATTCAGCCTCGTGACATCGCGATATGCGAAACATAAAGTTTGAACTGGGAAAGTATGATAACAGCTTTTGTAGAATATGCTCTTGTAGTAGCGATATACAGATATATCTACCACCATTACGTAACACTCGGGTAATCTCCTAAAATTAAAATTTGCTATTAGCAGAAATAATATTATACTCTCTCTTTAACAGATATTTTTATAACAATTAAATCTTACTTTGAAATATCTATCAATGGTAGATATCGTTGTCTCTTTGGTATCAGGCATTAAGGCATCCAAGGTGCCTTTGTCTAAAACTACACTAAATTTCTCATCAGGATATGTCATTTGTGTAGCATCCATATTTTCATACACCAGATCTGGCCTTGTATTGTTATTTATATCACGCATTTGTTTGATAACAATATGTGATATATCAATATTAATAATGTTCCTGTAAAAGAGTAAATTTTTAAATATATTTATTTAAAACTCTAACAAAACTCATGTAATATAATTTACACAACTGTGTAATATAATCTCTGAACACATAATTATGACCATGTTTATAAATAAATATTACATTACATAAAAGAGAAATATACAATCAAGAGACATACTGGCACAAGGCCAATTATATATACTCAAGTCACAGATTGTAACACATTTTGTTTTATTTACCTATAACCAACATCATATAAAGACATGCTTAATGTAGAATTTCCACAGCCAACAATCAAAATGTCATCCTTTTTTTTTATATATTTTAAAAGTATTCCACATAATTCTGGAAATTCGCCATACCTGCAGAAAACAAAGTAAATTTTAAATCTCATTAAGAAAATCAAGATTGTATCTACAACTTGTAATTAGCAATACAAACTTTACCATTCAAATGCTTTTTTGCCACGTTTTTTGAAGAATGTATTCCAGTATTCTGCCTGACTGAATTCTTCATGTGTTTTTGGTAGAAGATTCATTTTTTTAATTTTTTAAATATTATTCTTTTTTGTATCATCAGTTTTACAGTCTTACAGGAACGAGGTTATTAAATTGTTTAACGTGTCGCCCAGTGCCTTAACCAGTTCAAAACCAGCCTCTCAAGCCTATGTCACACTACGGATTGGGATTGAGATTAGATTGGAATTTGACCAATTAGAAAAAAGAAAACCAATCCTAAGTTTAGTGATCTTCTCTCTGATTGGCCAAATTGCAATCCAATCTCAATCCTAATCCGTAGTGTGACATAGGCTCAGGGCGACGTCCCATTGAACGGAAATCCACAGCGGAACGAAATGCGCGGATTTGCTACATCTCGATTGGCTAACTTCCGATCCGCGATCTGCAATACGTAATGTGACACGAGCTTAAAGATGTCCAGTAGCAACCAATGAACGATTATTAGGCTGGACCCTCATGCAGATATTGGCGCTTTGACACCAAGCGTTGATTGGTGAAAAGTGGGTGGTGAGAGTTGCCATAAACCTTGAGAGTAGAAGTTTGTTCGCGCAGAGAGAAACCTGAGAGCGGTCATCCTATTGTAATTTTTTACGACGGTTTCAGCCGCTGGTTTTAGCCGTATTTCCACAAAAGTGGAACTCAAAGGCCGTTCTACATTAAACGCAAGTATCAGATCTCGTGGAATTGAC